TATGACAGAGGACGTAAAAATTCGAATGACTGCATTCGTTGCGCGTATTTTTTTTTTGTTCGATATCACACTTTTATATACTTACCTAAATGAAAAAGAGGTGTACGTACGAACTCGGTGAGGATGAAAAGCGTACACCGATTTAAAGGAGCGATCGGTATGTTCTCGAAAGGCCGATCGAGTCACTGGCCGGCGTCGAAGCAAAAACCAAAAATAAAACAACCACAACCACAACAACAACAACAACAACACCATCCACTAATGTCTCTGCTTTTACGCCGTATGATTCACGCGACGATAGAGTCACACCACCGCTTCTCCTATATAATACAATAAGAAGGTGCAAACGTAGAGTAACATCGTGCGCTCCTAGACGACGACCGACCGACTGCGACGATGCGTCTTGCGGCGCTTCGCAGCGGAATTTAACCCGCTTATATATACTTGTATATAGCGTATCGAAACAGGACAGAGGTCCGCAGACACACGGAGAGGACGACGTCTTTGGAGGATTTTTCGGGATCGAGTCGGTGGTCTCTCGCTCTCCGTGTGGGCGCACTCGCGGGGAACTGTCGTATCTCTGCCTGCGGCTCCGGGGACTGTCTCCTGTATACCTCTGCGCGAGCGACGTCGTCGTGTATGTGTGTGTGTGTGTGTTTGTGTAGCTCGCGTGCCACCCGCTTAGACGCTATATATACAAAGACCTGCGTAGCTTCCCACCAACCCGCCGCCCCTCGAATTTTCCTCCTTTCACTCCTCGCTCTCGATTTGCAACATCTCGTGCCGTATGAGTGTATGCGCGCGCGCGCGCGTACCTACTATACGTAGGAGGCTGTATGATAGATCGCTCTTTATCTATGTGAAAGTTTATATATATAAATTGTGCTACGGAACGAAACACATACGTATGTGCCATTAGAATTGCGTATATATACGATGATAAATAACGAAAAACGAGTCTCTCGATATATTTTCAGCTCTCCTCCTCCTACCTACTCCTCTTTTAATGCACGATTCCTCTCTCTCTCTCTCTCTCTCTCTCTCTCTCTCTCTCTCTCTAACCAGCTCCTAATGGATTTTCGAAAAGGAAGACGCTCAACGACGTATATATATGTGGAACACGATCGAACGGAAGAAAAACGAGTTTGACATTTTGTGCTGCGTACGTCGGTACGCGCGCGCGACGTAACTATTACGTCGTAATTCGGTTTTTTAAAGAGCCAGAGATTTACGCGTGATTTCATTCAATGGCTCCTAGTGTGACATATTATACGATGATTACTTAATTATTATAATGACACGACGAGCGCGGAGATCGAGCGCTAGAAAGCATAAATAAATGTAAGCGCGTGTGGCCTTATTGCGGCCGATCGGGAATCTTCGGAGCTTCGAATCCTCTACTACTCTAATTCTAATAATTTTTCATCGACAGCATCTTTAAAAAAAAAGTAAAAACACGAGTTTAAAGAATATTCGATAAATACAGTGACGTACATTTATAAATAAACATTTTTAAACCGTTGTTACGTTGTACAATACGTCATGCACACGAATCTTGACGTATTACATCGCCACCAATTTTCCCTCGATTTACGGCCCACCGGAAAAATTCCCAAAATCCATGCTACGCGCGAAGGATTTTTTACCGATGAGCAAGGAGCAGCAACGCGCGTACAAGGTCCATTTGTACCACCACGTGTTCGTGCGCGCGCGCCGGGCGCTCGAACGCGGCGCCGCGCTGAAAAAAAAAAAACAAATATATCAAAATAAATATACGCACTCGCTCGTGAACGCGCTCAAAAAAAATTGGAGAAAAAATAAAATAAAACGAAAACGGAATAACAGGATTCTTTTTATCTAGTATATCGATGATTCAATTGAGATTACGCATTTTTCCATTGGAATTCGCGCGCGCGGGCGAACGCGTATATGTGTATGTTTGCCGCTCGTGTAAAAACCCCCGCAGCAAATTCGTTGACATTTGAATTTAGCTTTATTACATGTATTACCAGGTGTTTGTGTGCGTGAAGCAGCAAATTCCTTCTTCTTCTTCTTCTTCTTCTTCTTTTTTCAGGAACTTGTGTGACATTAATTACGCATTTTAATGTGCGAAGCGCGCGCGCACGCGCGAAAGAGAGTATTTGGAGCAGGCGAACAAACATTTACATCCTTTATGAAGATGAGAATCGATTTTTTTTTCTTTTAATTTCATTTTATCGGAATGATTGCGAAAAAAAAGAAGAGAAAACAATTATACCTGGGCCCCGAAGAAAAGTCAATCGAGAGTTAAGAATAACAAATTAAAAAAGAAGATCACTTTGTTGGTTCGAAAACTCAGCGCAAATATTTGCGAGGCTCGTCTGGGTAAATTAACGATAAACGCTGTTTATTCTTTATTTATTTATTTCTCTTTTTTGTATATTTTCCGCGTATTATGACAGCGCCGCAAACGAATACGTAACATCTTCATCTTCTTCTTAATTCTTCTTCTTTTTTTTTTTATTAAATTCATAATGTATGTTCGTAAAAAGACACATTCTCGACGTCAATTGTAATGCCGTACATATGCGCGACCTTGACATTGCGGTGTTAATGACAAAAAAATTCAAGTGCGCAATTGATTTCCTTCCCGAATTTCGATGATCTTCATGATGTCAATGCCGCGATGTTACGCAAACTTGTCAGCGGAGCATAGAGAACCGGTCTGCCTTTCCCTTTCATTTGAAACTTATTAGGTAACTTCATTAATTGGATTTTTCAACGATTCGGTAGGACTTCGAGATTGTATTTTTTTTTTCCGGCAGTATTGTGATTTCTTTAAAAATTTTTTTTTTTTAAATCACAGCAAGCAAATAAATCAAAGAATAAATCATTAATACCGTTTTAATCGTATACATCGATGAGATATTTAACTTTTTTGCATATCACTACTATAAAAGTTATCGAAATCGAAGTTGCATTTGACCTAGATAAACAAGTTATTTCCAAAAATTTTTTGAATAAGAAAACCAAAAAAAGCATCAATCACCTACCTTTGACATCTTTCAAACGGCGCCGTGTGTATCCACCATGCATCCGGTTAGTCGATCGGCAATTTCCTTCCAATCACTCTTGTAGTTTTCCTCGATTTATGTACGTTTGGCAGTTTTTCTTGAAATTGTCTCGACTCTTATAAAATACACAATCGTTTTGGCACTTTATCTTTATTAACCTAATGCAATGCAACTTCATTCGTGCGTAAATCATCGAGTTATTAACTTGAAATCCTACGATTGAACAATCTTTGAGAATATGTCGTCTTGTCAATAGCAAAATTATTCTTTGATAAGTGTTAGAGTCTTTTTATATGATAAATCATTTTTATAATTAGTAAAATTTAATAATGCTCCTCGTTGACTTACTCTTCTCTTGAATTTTCTCTCATTAATCTTTTTTGATTGACATTATTTAGTTGATTTCAATGCCTGTGTATAGTTATGCTTAATGATGGATTTCGAAATTTTCATTTTGAAACTCTACAGGAAGCAGTTCAAGCATAAGACTTACACAAAATAGTTGACATAGTGTACATAAAAAATGTTACTCTGTCTTGAAACTTAAAGATCAATTGTCAGTCGATACGATCGTTTTTCGCACTTTTTCAGTCAGTCTCGGTTTTTGCCCGAAAAAATCGTCAAGTCACCAAAACACGCATCTCCTCGATAAATCCAATTATATGTGCAAGCTTATCTCAATGTCCCATTGAATCTCGTATCAGATAAAACCGAGCAGATCGTTTACACAGATCGTTTGATTGCAAAAATAACGATAAAATTTCATTCATGCGTTTTGGGTGTTGATTCTTGGAAATGTAAGGGATAAAGATATCGTCATTGTGTTATTGTTGTAATTGTGCACTCGACAAACGAAAACATAAACAAAATAAGAAGATGATGAATAAAAATTGTAATTGTGCATATCGCGTTTGATTGACGTATTTATGGCAATGCAAAGTGCGTATTCCATATAGAAAAATAAGAATAAAACCTAAAGTTTCTCCGCAGCAAAGTGCAAGAAAGAAAATAAGGATTTGCGTGTGACGTCGAGTGCATTTATACAAAGTGTCCAAATATCCACGAGAGTTATATAAAAATGCGTCAATTCGTTCGGCTTTATTATTTTAATTTAAAAAAGAATACGTAAAAAATAGCGATGAGGCATTTTTAAAAGTATCGCAAACGAGATACAGGAGCGTATCGAAAAATTTGTAGCTGCGACCGGTAGCAGCATCAGTCGGTCGAGTAAATTCACTCGCGCGCCGCTCGTCGGGACAAAAGAAAAGGTAAACAGATGGAGCTTTTTTTTATCTCATTGCTTGATAATAATGGCAATGAAAAAAATTAACTGATTTAATGTACAGGCTGCCGAAATCTTTCTCCAAAAAATGTCAAAATAAACATTAATAGGTTGATTTTTATTCATATATATATTTTTTATTTATTTATTTCATTCAATAGTAAATATTACAATACATGAATATTACAGTTTTGTAATCCTGCGACGTTGCCCGTTTGCAGGGGTGGTTCGATTAAGAATAAAAGAAAAATAAGACTAAGAAGGATACATAGATAATCTTAAAATCTATAAAATTTATACCTGGATAATTTCAATGTATAAATGTTTCATTTTTAACAATATTTCGCCATATTTAACTTTAGCTATACTTTTGAGCTCACGATTTTACATATACTCGGCACACATTCATTACATCTTCATAGCTCAAGTACTGGGTCAATTATTCGCAACATAATACGGGAAGATAAAACGAAACTTTTCAATTACAGTAAACAATGATTTGTGTATAAGGCATGAATGATGATGCCCTTTGATCGATATCATTATTATAATCATTTTAAGTTTTGAAGGATCTGTGGTGAATCAATCAATTTATCTACTTGGTTCGATCAAGACATTTTACATATTGTAAGTTTATATCAATGTTTAAAAAAAAAGAGATAAGGTTTTCATTAACATAATAAATTTATTGATTATGATTCTTATTAATACTTGGGCTTTGTTCTTTTGGTGAGATAACATAGCACAAGAGGAGTACACAAATAGTATCACATTAAACAACAATTTTCAAGAAAGATATTTAAGTTAAAAAAATAAACTTATAGACCGTGAATTAATGCATTTCAACATAAATCATGTACACCTGTCTAAGTCACAATGGATTAGCGATGCATCCTATCCACGTGGACACCGACTTAATCCTTTGGTTTTAATTTTTTCACTTTTACCATGCGCGTTTTACTTTTATGCTTTGTATCGATGTGCTTTTTGAGAGCATCTTTTCGTTTAAATGTCTTCTCGCATCTGTCACATGCGTGGGAGATTTTATTATGCTGCGTATCGATGTGATTTTTGAGATTATCCTTTCGTTTAAATGTCTTCTCGCATCTGTCACATGCGTGGGAGTTTTTATTATGCTGCGTATCGATGTGCCTTTTTAGATAAGGCTTAGCCTTGAATTTCGTACCGCATAAAGCGCATGCGTAAGTAATTTTATTATGCACCGCATCGGTGTGCAATCGGAGATAATTTTTACAGGCGAATGTCTTTTTGCATTCATCACATTCATGAGTAATGTTACTATGCACTGATTCTATGTGGATTTTGAGAGCACTACTGACTTTAAATTTTTGTCCGCACTCACCGCATTTATGTCTCCTGCCCATATGTATCGATTCGATGTGGAGTTTGAGAGAATTTTTATGCGCAAACTTCTTTTTGCATATATCGCATTCATAAGTGACTTTATTATGCGATGCATCGATGTGAATTTGGAGATAACCATTCGATGCGAATTTCTTACCACACGTATCGCATGAATGAGTAACGCCCATATGGATCGAATTGATGTGGACTGTGAGATTGGTTCTGCTTTTGAATGTGTTTCCACATATATCACATTTATGAGTTATTTTATTATGTTCCGAATCGATATGGACTTTGAGGTGGTCCTTGCGTTTAAATTTCTTTTTACATATTTCACACGCATGGGTTATTTCCCTATGAATCGAATCAATGTGTTCTTTGAGGGAATCCTTCCGTCTGTATGTCTTTCCGCATATGGCACACGTATGAGTGATTTTATTATGAACCGAATCTATATGTTCTTGGAGGGAATCTTTTCGTTTGAATTTCTTTCCGCATACATCACACGGATGGTCAATACCTTTGTGCACAGAATCCATGTGTAATTTGAGATTAGTTTGAAGAGGAAATGCCCTTCCACATATTTTGCATGACTTAGTGATACCTTTATGAATCGAATCGATGTGGCGTTGCATAGTTAAATAGCGTGAAAATATCTTTCCACATATTTCACATTTGGGCCCGATACCATTATGTATCGAATCGATGTGGAGTTGGAGATGACTCTTAGCTGAATATGTTTTCCCACACGTACCGCATTTATGTTTGATACCTTTATGCGCTCTATTGATGTGGGTTCCGATACTGTCTTTGCGCTGGAATGTCTTTCCGCACAGATTGCATGTATATCTCTTACCATTATGTATCGAATCTATGTGGTTTTTTAGCTCACCAATCGTAGAGTATTCCTTTCCGCATATGTCACATATAAGTTTGATTTCGCTGTGTATCCTCAAAATGTGACTTCGGAGATAACTTTTACAAGCGAATTTTTTTTCGCATACATCACATTTATAAGTGATGTTACTATGCATTGTATCGATGTGGATTTGGAGATGATGTTTTCTTAAATAATTTTTTCCACATATTTCACATGCGTAGTTGCTACCACTGTCACTGTGTGCCCTGAGACTGCGTTGATTATTTTCATTTTGTTCAACCCCCTCAGAGTCCAAATTTAATTCCTCTGGAACGTCGCTAAGAATATCTTCCTTTACTTCCTTCTTAATTTCTGCTTTCATAATATTTTGACTTTTATGACTATTTTTATCATTCTGTAATTGATTTCCAGAGTTATCATCACTTTTATGCCCTACTAAGAAATCCACACTAGGCTTCTCGTCTTGACATTCGAATTCAATTTCTATGTCGTTATTGAGTTCACCGTTCGGATTCGATTCCTCGGCCATGTCGTCGATGATTTCTTCTTCCAAATTCTCTGGGGGTTCTTTTTTAATTTTGTGTAAATCCATTTTCTTTGGTAGCAATAAATTCTTATCGGGCTTTACATCTTGACATTCGAATTCAATCATCATATCGTCGCATCTTGGAATCCGAAGGACCTGTTGAAAGTTAAAGTTAAGTAAAAATTTTCATTTAAAACAATTACGATAGCAGTTGCTCATAAACATGAATTCTCACCAAATTATCTTGAAAAGGCAATTGTTGGACATTTTTATGATCAATTGGCTCATTCATTATTCCATCTCCACATTCATCCAACGACACTTCATAAGGTTCCTCTTTCAACCTGAAATAATAACAAGGTCTATAATATATCTTAATACTTTTATTCTTATGAAATAGAAATTTAAGGAAAGTCGTACACCAATACACTCCTCTTTGTTATTTTTAACCCTTTAACGCCTGAAATGACCATTTTTGGACAACATTTAAAGCGATGAATTACACCGACTAGAAATTGTTTAAAAAACTTTTCAAACATCATTTCTCACGTAAAATTTAATATACGTTTCGAATCCAGAGTCAGAATTTTCAAAAAATTATTTAATAAAAAGTTATAAACAATTTTGTAAAAAAAACATGAAATTTCGAGAAAAAAATCTCGTTTAACTCAAATTTCAACACCGGAAAAAGGTTCGCTCGTGCTTCTCACGCACATAAATTTGGTTAATGGCTTGTATACTATATTGTAAAACAGTTATAATTACGAAATTCAAAATGGCGATCATAAATTTGACTCCCAAAGACCTGTGTGTCATAAAATGATTTCGAGAATTTTTAACTCGATAACCATCAACTTTACGAAAAAGTTGTAGAATAAAAAGTGTTTAGAATTGATCAAAGAACATGCCTGATTTTTTTCAGAATTTTCGGAGCGATTTTTGGATTTTTGGATAACACCATTTTTTCAAAAATCCAAAAATCGTTCCGAAAAAGTCTGAAAAAAATCAGGCGTATTCTTTGATCAATGCTAAACCCTTTTTGTTCCATAACCCTTTCTCGTAAAGTTGACGGTTATCAAGTTAAAAATTCTTGAACGATAGGTTTCATTTTTGATTTCGGTTGAGAACGTTCAAAAAATTTATTTCATAATTTTAAGTTGAAAATTTCATTTTTTATGGGGGTGACACGGTTATCAGCCATGTTCCAATTGCCCGCCTCTCCCCTATGTGGCGTGTTATGAAGAAAGAGAAAAATGAAAAGAGTAAAATAATATATAAAAAAGAAAAAAGAAGAATTTCTAAAAAAAAGCTAGATGGGAACTTTTTTTCACACTAAAATACAAAAAAAATTTCAAAAACTGTTTTTTTTCAACTCTTATTGACATGTAATGGGACTGGTAGATTGAATAAATAATTCATTTTCACGTTTATCAATTCATAGGATAATACAGGATTTAACACATTAATGTCGCCTTAATAAATGTTGTAGAAATTAAGATCTCAAAAAAGTTATGAAAAAATACATCGCTGAATGTTCACCGTTCGACAACCACCTGTGCGGCAGTTCTTGGACGTGCGAGAAATTAACCTTTTACAGCATGTGGCATGTTATGGAATCAATACGAGAAAGAGAAAATGTAAAAGAAAAAAACTCGTTTTCAACCTATGCGTTAATTAAATTTGATATAATGTTCACTTACATTTTTACTGCGTAATATACGATTTCCGTGCATGAAAAACGGCGAGCGAACACGTCAATACTTGTATAAAAACACTAGTCTCAGCAAACGCGCAGCAGCCGACACCCGCAAGCACTTGTTTGAACTTCAGTCTTCAACCTCGGGTCTGCTACAGCTACTCTCGCGTACGCATTGTACTTAAGTGCGCGCGCAGCCTACGATGCACGCGCCACTAACCGACTCGTAACAAGCACCAGCCTGTTTAAATTCACTCGCTATCGAACTACAAATAAAGTCACTCAATTAATTTGCAACCTAAATGTAACTTTATTTGTCTACCTAATTTTCTACCCTCGCGCGCTGGATACGAAGCAACTCTTCTGAACAGCAACTAGTCGTCAATCGGGCGACGACTAACGCTTCAAGCCGAAACATATAATTCATTAACAGTCGCTTTGCATAAGACGTACCCCGTAGCCTAGTGGCTACGAAACCTGCTTTTTACTCTTGTAGACTCGCGATCGATTTTTATTTTATTTTTATTCTATATTTTTATTCTAACAGATATACTGATAAGGTATATTATTAAGTAAAATTATTTTTTTATATACTCTTAGGGATTTAAAAAAAAAGTATAATATAACCGTATACTATTATTTAATGAAATATTATTAATATTGTTGAATAATATTCAAGTGAATGTATAAAATTAATTATCATAAAATTTATGATTGACAATGAAACAAATTTATTTTATAAATTTGATCCTATCCAAATTTCAAAAATTAATTCGGCTTTTGTCTTTTTCGCACATACCAAATCAAATTTAATTTAATATTTTATATACTATAAATTTTATCAAATAAATGATTGAAGCAATGAAACTTTTGTGTGATAGCAAGTGACAGAGTTTTAAAATCAGCGTCTGACAGAGCTCGAGCTATATCGTACGCTGCACATGCTCAGTGAAAACTTGCAATGTGGCACATTTTTCGATATCATTATTAATCAGCTAAATTTTTGAAGGATTTGCCTTACCCCAATAGGAAAAAATTGTTCAAGAAAAAACTATCATATTAAATTGTAAAATGTAATAAAATGTAAAACAATGTAAAATTAAGAACGATTTCGAACGGCCAATGCATTAAAAATGCAGCATAAATTACATTTTTTTACACTTTGTTACATTTTCTTACATATGCTATTTGCATGTGATCGCATCGACCACGAAAAGTGATTTTCGTGAAAAAAAACGTATGGATTTTTATGAATAAATTCAGACAAATTATGAAGGATATGTATATAAATCAAATTTAGATATCTCAATGTTCCTGGGTATAGCTATTGTTATGTCCGGGCTATTTGTTAAATAATACCCGAACATTTATTTTAATCTAACTGCACCAAAATCTGAGATACACGTTTAAGGTTTGACACAAGACTTTTATTATAGAGTTTGCACATATAAAATGGATATTATATTTTTCGTTACACTTTTAGTTATGATGTACCACGCGATTGGCTCAGCTGTAGCTCAATTAAAAAAAAACTAGGATAAGGTGTTAGCGCGTGAAAACCGCAAGATGTTAGTGCGTCTGTCTGCGAGAGCTGAGAGCCGACCGCCCGAGATTACAAAGATGCGCGCTATATATAATAATTGTTTAATTAGTCCGGGCGCCAGCTATGGGTCGAGTATACATTTTCAGGTCCATAAGGTAACCAAAGCTTTTTATAGGTTTTTTGGTGTGCTGAATCGATTTAGCTTGGTTACCAAGCGTTAAAATTGGTATTTTAAAAGTTATTAACAAATTTATTGTTTATAACTAAAAAAATTTGTTTAAAAAAATCTGAAAAAATTCACACGTATTCTTTGACTAATTCTAAGACTATTTTGTTCTTTGCATTTTTTCGTTTTAGACGTTCCTTAATGAGTTAGAAAATCGCAAAGATTGAAAATATGAATGGTTTCTGAACAAATTCGTGCGTAAAAAAATAACTTTGCGATTTTCTAGCTCGGTAAGGAACGCCTAAAACGAAAAAATGCAAAGAACAAAATAGTCTTAGAATTAGTCAAAGAATACGTGTGAATTTTTTCAGATTTTTTTAAACAAATTTTTTTAGTTATAAACAATAAATTTGTTAATAACTTTTAAAATACCAATTTTAACGCTTGGTAACCAAACTAAATCGATTCAGCACACCAAAAAACCTATAAAAAGCTTTGGTTACCTTAAGGACCTGAAAATGCATACTCGACCCATAGCTGGCGCCCGGACTAAATACCGAATTACAGTGGGGCGATATTGAAAGATTACCCGAATTCGCGTAAGCTATCCCGTGACTCGCGCGTGGTATGATAACCCATAAATTACATCATTCTTTTATTACCCCTTTTAATGACGTTATATCGAAAAACTCGAGGTCGAGAAACAGCGTGACGAGACTCGATTTTTTGGATATAACACTATGATGATGTTATAATGCTTTTTGCTGCATTGTAGTGAGTTCACTTTTATCACGAAAATAACTTGCTGTGGTCGATGCGATCTCATGCGGGCTTGACTGGAATTTGAAACTCTTAGTAAAAATTGTAACATTTAAGATTATTATTACAGAATTTTATATTTTTTTACACTTTTTACTTTTTTCATGTAACTTTAATAAGCTTGAATTTACAGGCTTTTTATCTTTGTAATCACCAGTAAACAAATGCAATGAAGTGTGATGAAAAATAAAAAAAGTGTAGAAAAACGTATTACATGTTCGAAATCGTTAGTAATCTTACATTTTTTACACTTTTTACTTTTTATAACAGTTCACAACATTATTATGTTCTTTATTTGAAAAAAAAATCCTGCTGGGGTAAATCAATAAATTTTTTAACCCAATCAAGACATATTAGATATTCTAAGTTTACACCCGAGATAAAAAAAAAGAGACGAGTTTTTTTTTAATACAAAAACTTTGTGGATTTTTATTAATACTTGGGTGCATAATACTTTCATAGTAAGATAACATAGCATAGGAGGAGTTCATAGTATCACAATGAACAACAATTTTTAAGGAAGACATTCACAGATCGCAAATTACCATAATTTTTCAAATTATATAATGCGTTAGCGATGCATCTTACGCTTGTGGGCATTAAGCAGATCCTTTCGTTTAAATGTTTTTTCACATCTATCACATGGAAGAGCGATTTTATTATGCGTCGCATCGACGTGCCTTTTGAGACTACTCGTTTTTGTGAATGACTTTCCACATTTATTACACTCAAGAGTAATTTTATTATGAATCGTATCAATGTGCTTATTGAGATTACTCTTCGTTGTGAATTCATTTCCGCAAACATCACATTTATGAGTGATTTTACAATGCATGGAATCGACGTGAGTTTGGAGAGAATTATATTTTAAAAATGTATTTCCGCATATATCACATGCATTTTTAACTCCATTATGCGCCAATTTGATGTGGGCTCTGAGTTCACACCTCGTAGAGAAGTTTTTTTTGCATTTATTACACGGATTTTTAATACCTTTATGCACTAAATTGACGTGGACCTTCAAATGACCCTTACTTGTGTATTTCTTTCCACATGTATCGCATGTGTAACGTTTATGTGATGTTTCGATATGCCTTTTAAGATATCTCTTTTGGGAAAATGACTTTTCACACCTATTACATGCATAATTACTGTCACAATTATGCATCGCATCGAGATGGATTTTAAGATGTTTCTTATGTGCGAACGTTTTTTTGCATATATCACATACAAATTTGTTATGTTTAGAATCCATGTGGGCTTTGAGGTGATCTTTTCGTGTAAATGTTTCTTCACATCTAGCACATGCATAAGTGGCCTCAGCGCCCGATGCTCGGTTGTGCTTTTGAAGATGAACCAGGTTAATGTGGAGTTTGACAGTCCACTTGCGTGAAAATATCTTCCCACATATTTCACATTTAGGCCCGGTACCATTGTGCTTCGAATCGATGTGGTCTTGGAGATGACTTTTAATTCTAAATGTCTTTTCACATGAACCACATTTATGCGTGGCACCCTTATGTGCCACATTGATGTGGGTATGGAGACTGGATTTGTGCATGAATGTCTTCCCGCATGTATTACATGCATGAAGTATTTTGTTATGCTTCGCATCGATGTGTTTTTTGAGCACACTCTTCGAAGAGTATTCCTTTCCACATTTATCACATGCAAAATTGATTACACTATGCTTCGAAACAATGTGGGTTCTGAGATAACTTTTACAGTCGAATGTTTCTTTGCATACATCACATTCATAAATGATCTTACAATGCACCGTATCAATGTGGATTTTGAGTTTACTGTTTTGAGAACATTTTTTTCCACTTGATTTACGCGAGGAGATGTTACTACTTTGAACCGCATCACTTTGTGCATTCAGATAATGTTGATAGTCCGACTTTTTCGTAATTATTTTTTTTTTAGTTTGTTTGACTAATTCACAATTCAAATTCATTTCTTCTGCACCATCAATACAATTTTCTTTTTTCGCTTTTCGAACTTCTGGAACATCCACACTGAGTTTGACGTTTTCATATTCAAAAACTATTTCCGTGTCATTATTAAGTTCACGATCAAAATTCGATTTTTCTGACGTGTCGCCGATAATTTCTTCTTTCCATTTCTCAGCGGGCTCTTTTTTTACTCTGTTGAAAGGTTTACAACCACTGCTATCTGCTATATTCTGCAAGTAATTTTGAGAGTAATTGTCTAGTTTCCTACGTAGTAACAAATTCTTATCGGGCTTGTCATCTTGACATTCGAATTCAATTTCTATGTCATTATTGACTTCACCGTCAAAATTAGAATTCGATTCTTTTGCCATGTCGTCAATGATTTCCTCTTTCAGTTTCTCCGTGGGCTCTTTTTTTATTTTGTTTTGATTAACTTTATTTAGTAGTAATAAATTCTTATCGGGCTTCACATCTTTACATTCGAATTCAATCATCATATCGTCGCATCTTGGAATCCGAAGGACCTGTTGAAAGTTATAGTTGAGTGAAAATGTTTATTAAAAATAATTTGGATCGCCGTGGTTCATAATTATTAATACTCACCAGATTATCTCGAAATGTCAATAGTTGGAAGTTTTTATGATCACTTGGATCGTTCATTATTCCATCTCCACCTTCATTGAACGACACTTCAGAAGGTTCCTCTTTCACCCTGAAATTATTATAACAAGATTAAGTAAAAAGCTATAATATTTTCATACTTTACATTTTAAAAAATTTGAAAATAACAAATTTATAACACGTGAAGAGCTCCCATAAAGAGCAGTTTTCTCATATAATTACTTCCCTTTATCATAAAATCGTAATTTATATCATCGATTATAACATCGAACCATCAAATTCTTATTTTCAATTTCATAAATCTATAAACAAGAGGTCTTGTGTAACTAGAATAGACTACACTTTGTATGTTCCCTTGGCATTTGATTAGTGTATTGTATAATAAGTAAGGAATGCGTAAGATATTTCCAATTTTCTCAAATGTTCACACGCTAAAAGTTTTTAATCACAAAAGCATAAAGTCTCATACATAGCATCGCGGGTATTGCATGTCGTAATTGATTCGTAGTTTTCGCCGTTTCTTCTGCCGGCACCGCAGCAGCATATATCTTTCATGTATGAGAGAGTCTGAAGCAGCGACTGACAGAATTCGAGCTACATCGCGAGCTGTACTACTGCGCATGTCCTCGGTGAAAACATCTCACGCCGGCAACAACGAGCCGATAGTTACATCTACATACAACACTCGATGCAATAGGCCACATTCGATGTACTTGTGTCAGAAAAAAATAACTTTTGAGAGTGGCTCTGACCTGCTAATCAACTACTCTCAATAATTCATACATTAGGATATGTTTGTGTCTTTTTATTTACACAATAATGATTTCAATGTGAGAAAGAGATCAGGATGGAAAAAAAGAAAGGCTCACTGCGCACTCGCATTATGCGCGTACATTACAGAAACAATCCTGAGTATGCATCTGAATGAAAAATCAAGGAAACAGTCCTGTCAGCAACTTGGTTGTTATATTGTGTTCAAATTTTCGATTTGCTCAGCATTTTGCAACTGGGGTTGCCACGAGTTTTAACCATGTGTAGTAATTTTAATATAACTTCAACTTACATTGTAACCGCGTACTGTACTCAGTCGAATTCCGAAGGAACACTGCTGGATAACGAATACGTCGATGAGTCTGTGTCGAGATGGAACGAGGTAACATCTACTCGCGCTTGTATCTCTCAAATTTGTATCGCTTCCTATGAGCTTTCACTGGCTTATGTGTTCATGATGTCTTTGTAAAGGTCGTAAAAAAGCGTTGAGATTACGATTCTATGGCCCAAACTACATGATGAGCGAGCTCGATTTCAAACGAATGAATATGCGTGTTGGTGAAGTGCCTATACGCGTAGGCGATTTGAGATTTCAAAGATTCCGGTAGTCGTATACAAAAGTTTGTTTATCGTAATTAATAATTTCTTAGAGTAATATTTAAAAAAACATTAGCTTAATATAGCTTGATGTCCGTTAAAAAACGAGCTGATTTTTATTTTGCTAAAATCAAATCGAATCGGGGCTGAGTTACGTAAGCTTACTGGGTATTTGACTAGGTTTAATTGTAATTATATTTTCTGTCTTCGAGTAAATGCATGGGTAAATGATATAACTTAATTTCGATTGTAAAATTAATTTATATTACTCAAATTCCAGAAAGAAAATTCAACGAGGGAAAAGGATTTTAAAGTTTTACTACCGTCCGAGCGATTGACATTTTATTTTAAATCGTTTAAAGAAGTTTTAATTTTTCATATTTCGATGTTTTTAATTAATAAATTTTTTATTTTATAATACAATTGCTCAATAAAAATGTACAATGCAAACGAAAATTACACGGTTTTTAATTAACAAAATTAATTTCTTAAATTCGATGTCATGTATTTCCTACGCCCTCCCCATAAAATTTTCGTGCAATTTATGTTAAAAAAACCAGACGAAAAAGTAATCTAACATTACAGGCTCCAAAAGTGAATACTTACGATCCAACCAAGCAAAAGGACAGCGTCCAGCCGGTTTGGTTTTGTTGTCCTTACTAAGGGGTAAGCCGTGATCTTTGAGAGACTTGACGTACAGTATGATAATGGCGGCGACGGTTTTTGTACATATTGTAATATTGGAGATATTGTAAGATTTTAGATTGTAAATTTTGTATAAATTGCAATTTAATAGATTGTAGATAAATATTTTAAGATGATAAATTGTAAATTTTATATATATATATAAAACAAAATTTTATAGGCAATAAATAAAAACATTTTAAATGCTCAATTTTGTTCAATTTTAATTTATTAATTCTCAATAAAAAATTATGCTAGCATAATGCAAGCATTCTGGAGGCCTGCTGCATTTATTTATTTAAAAATATAATCGTGAATGTCAGCACGATGCTGGCATTCTGACGACACGTTGAAAAAATCGTTCAAAGAACTTCTGCATGACGGCACCCTGCATGCATTTTGCCTTCACGGCGTGCAGCCAGATTTTTTTGGGTGACAATTGAAAATGGCACTTTCCCGGCACGATGTCAGCACGGCGTGCCGGCACGCCATGCCAAATTTGTGACGCCAATATGCGGCGGCAATAGGACGTCAAAATGCTAACATGAAAATGAGACATTGTTTGCTGACATCGTGCCGTCATTATGCCAACACGTTGTTATATGGGAGAATGTTTAATTATCTCTGTGTAGACGGAACAGAAATCTCTCCCCACTCTGAATTTAGAACTCGTAGCTCGAGCATCTGCTACCTTGTTCCATCCCGACGAAAAACTCATCGACGCACTCGTGCTGAAGCAGTAAAACAGACAAGTTATCTATCAAACGTGTTCACGTGCTCTCTCCAACATCTAAAAAGTAACAGACGCCGTCAAATTGTAAGTCGAAAGATTATTCATTCTTTTCTTTGTACCTTAATTTCATAAAATTTTCTCGCATGAACAACATGCCACTAGACATATTCTAATGTTTCAACCACTGCCGATAATCGCAATAAACATTCAATAGCCGATACGTCAAGTTAAGAGTAAACGTTACGCCCACAAACGCTTTGCTAGTCGCCGATGTGAAAATAAAACTAAAATTTTACCACAGTTTTATTTCTAGATTGATTGAAAAAATCAGGCACAAGCATAGCTTAAAATAAATTTTTTTCTTACACGAACGTATGTAAATGTACAAAAATGTAAGAGATATGCATTAGCGGCAGGAGAAACATCGCCAGCCGGAAAGTACAAACTGATTACAATGTGCAACTCCCACGACACAATATATGAGCAATTCTTTAAAAAAAAAACAGATTTTTGAAGGTAAATTCGCGGCAACATTTTTTAGTAGGAACATGTTAGAACGTAGAAACACAATCGACATTTTGATAGTGTTTTTTATAGCTACTTTTATGATTTAATGGACGATAAATCATGTTTTCTCCGATAAATGCGGCTAGGTACTCAATTTGTAAGTCATCTAAAAAGTATCAAAACTCATCTAAAATAAGTAACTAACTATACAATCCGATAGAAAATTTTGTAAGCTTTCCGATTGGAGATATTAGATTTTCTAAAATTTTCAATTTTCACTAAGATAATCGCAATTAAACCTGCCGCGTCAAATATCTCGAGAACACGATAAAGGAAAAAGTGATTTTTGAGGTTTATTTTTGATTTTTCCTTCTGAAAATGAGATTTATCGAAAAACCCGACTGCACGCGATGAGAAATCTGAAAAAATTTCTTATTGAAATCTCATATTCATTCATATTTTCAGTCGAATTATAATGTTATACGTTAACGCGGTTGAAATCCGCGTGACTGCGCTTAAAACTGCTCGAGAGCATAATCGCAGAACAAAGTAACAAAAAATCGCTCGTAAAACCTATTAATTTGACTGAAAATATAAATGAATATATGAGGTTTCGATAGGAAATTTCCTCAGCTGTCTCATGGTGCATTCAGATTTTTCGATCAATCTGATTTTCACAGAGAAAAATCAAAAATAACCCTGCAAAATCACTTTTTCCTACTTGATTATTATGAATGATTTTCGCTAGAACGCGAGCGAACATCTAAATATTCACAAATGTATTTGTACGCTTTAACAATTATATATTAAAAAGAAACTGTTAAGAAATATTTCATCGTGCATACATTTACAGGGGATTTTTTGAAAAGAGTTGAATTGAAATTTATTCATAACATATAATCAATACTCGACGTCTGTTGGTATTGGTTAGACTTGTTTGCTGTTAATAATATTAATGCTTAGGCCTTGGGTTTTACCTCAAATAGCCCAGGAGTTCTTTTTTGTTTTTTTCTAGTAGGCGCGACTTTTTTTATGTTTGTATGTATATGAGCTATATCGTGTCAACTGCTCCCCCCTCTCCTTGGATCAGAGTTGTAATTTGATTTTTCATATTTTATTCTGCTTTCCAAGGGTGAATATGAAAAAATGATTGAAACATGATTTTTTATGTAAAATTTGATGAGGAATTCAAATTGTATGTCAAAAATCATATTCATAAACTCTAAGTACCTTAATTTCAAAATTTCAGCCTCAGTGGCAAAAATAAAATGTTCGTATCCAGCGATATGGGCAATATTGTAATATTTTCTTCTTTAAATCCAAATACAACTCCTGATAAATGTTGGTCATCGGCAGACAAACAGACTTAATTATTGAACATGATAAGAGTCAAGAATAGAGGAAATCTAGAGAAAAACCATGCGCTATTGACACATATGAAGCTCGATAATGAAGTCTGTTTGTCTGCTGATGACCAAAATTTATCAGAAGTTGTATTTTGGTGTATCGATGAACATATTACAATATTGGCCATATCGCTGGATACGAATGGAAAATTCCAGGAAATTGGACCTCACCATCAGAAAGCTGAGGAAATTTCCTATCGAGAGCACTAGTTATTTATTTCTTTGAGGGGCGTTTTGATACTTTTACAGCGAGTTAGAAATTGAGTGATTTGGCCAAAAAATGCCGTGTGGCAGAGCGCTAGGACACTTTAAGAAATTTACCCCAAATATACCTTTCAAATACAAGGTATTTATTATTTATACGCATTGTAAATACAAGGTTTTTATTATATATTTTATACATTGTACATACAAGATTTTTACTATATATATAATAAAATTATTTTTTTATTAGTCATCGATTTTCCAGATTTGTTGGGGACACAAGAATTTTAGCGCAAGATTGATTCAACGCGTAATGTATAGATTACAATTAACTTAATTCTGATACAGAAGATTGAGTGACTATGTGAGAAAAAAATCATGGAATTTTTTTAATTCAAAATCGTTTCAAAATATTATAGCTTTTTACTTAATATTATTCTAAAAATTCCAGGGTGAAAAAGGAACCTACTGAAGTGTCGTTGGATGAATGTGGAGATGGAATAATGAACGAGCTGACTGATCATAAAAACGCCCAACTATTGCCGTTTCGAGATAATTTGGTGAGTATTATCAGCATCTGCTATCGTTTGTTTTTGATGAAAATTTTTACTCCACTATAACTTTCAACAGGTCCTTAGGATTCCAAGATGCGACGATATGATGATTGAATTCGAATGTAAAGATGTGAAGCCCGATAAGAATTTATTATTACGAAAGAAAATAAATTCAAACAAAATTAAAGAAGAACCCCCGGAAAAAATTAAAGAAGAAGTTGTCGACGACATGGCCGAGGAATCGAATTTGAATTTTGACGGTGAACGCAATAACGATATGGAAATAGTTTTTGAATGTCAAGATGTGAAGCCCAATAACAATTTATTGTTACGAAAGAAAATGGATTTAGACAAAATTAAAGAAGAACCCCCGGAAAAAATTAAAGAAGTTGTCGACGACATGGCCGAGGAATCGAATTTGAATTCGAATGGTGAACTAAATAACGATGTTGCAATTGAATTCGAATGCGAAGACGTCAAGCCCAGTGTGGATATACCAGTAGCAGGGAGAACGAAAATAGAAAATTTTATTGACAGTAGAGAAGAGATGAATTTGAATTGTGAACCAGTCAAACAAAATAAAAAAAAAAGAATTATGAAAAAGTCTACCCTTCAAAAGAGACTTAAATCACAGAGGGGTACACTTCAAATTGGTAGCACCTCGGCGCATAAATCACGTAAAAAAAAATGTGCTCAAAAGAGCAAACTCAAAATAGATGCATTGCACAAGAAACTTCCTTTTGAATGTGATATATGTAAAAAGAGATATACAGAAAAAAGCTCTGTCAAAAGGCACATTGGAAAGATACATATGGGTAAAAAATGCGCTCAAAAAAGCAAACTCAAAGTAGATTCGTTGCACAAGAAACTTCCTTTTGAATGTGATATATGTAAAAAGAGATTTACAGAAAAAAGCTCTGTCAAAAGGCACATTGAATTGATACATATGGGTAAGAAGAAATATAAATGTGGAAAGTGTGGGCAAAAATTCAGAACCAAGAATTCTCTCCAAATTCACATCGATTCGGTGCATAATAAAATCCCTTATGAATGTGATGTATGCAAAAAGAAATTCCTCGTGAAGAGCCATATCCAAAGCCACATTGTTAGAATGCATAGTGGAATCAAATTCACATGCGTTACATGCGGAAAGGAATACTGCACGAAGGGTGAGCTAAAAATGCACACAGATTCGAAGCATAACGGTAAGAGACACGAATGCGGTACATGCGGAAAGTCATTTTCAGCTCAGAGAGCACTGCGAGCTCACATACGTTTGCTGCACGATAAGCATACGCATACTTATGAATGCGATCGATGCCAAAAGACATTTCCCAGCGAACGTTATCTCGAAACCCACATTCTCTCGAAGCACAGTGGAATCAAATTCACATGCGATACATGCGGAAAGGAATGCTCCAGCAAGATATTGATAAAATCGCACATCAACGCCGTACATAACAAAATCCTTCACCCATGTAATATATGCGGAAAAAAATTCATGCACAAAACCACCATCAGAATGCACATCGATTCGGTTCATAAGGGTATCAAGCATAAATGCGACACGTGCGGAAAGATTTATACGAATAAGGGTAATCTCCGCGCTCACATCGCTCAGGCGCATAAAAATAAAAAGACCTCCCATGCGTGTGGTACTTGTGGAAAGACATTCACGCACAGAGCCAGTCTCAAGCTCCACATCAGTTCCAGACACGAGGGTGTCAAGCATAAATGCGGTACATGCGGAAGCACATTCACAACCAAATCCAGTCTCCAGAAGCACATCGATGCTCTGCACAATGGTATCGGACCTAAGTGTGAATTATGCGGAAAGGTATTTTCACGGAACATCGCTCTGCAAACCCACATCGATTCGATGCACAATAAAATCACTCATAAGTGCGAAACTTGTGGAAAAGTATACTCTCGTGTACATACTCTCAAACGACACATAGAAGAGTCGCATAATAATTTTGCCTTGCCTTGTGAAGTATGCGGAAAAATATTCAAACGAAAGCAGAATCTCAAAGCCCATATCGATTCGACGCATAACGGTATGGGGCCCAAATGTGAAATATGCGGAAAGAAATGTCTATCAAAGCAGCAACTCAGAGACCATATCGATTCGGTGCATAATAAAATCACTTATCCATGTGATATCTGTAAAAAGGAATTTAAAAGCAAAAGTTATCTCAAAATACATAACGATATAGTACATAAGCGCATTAAACATCCGTGTGATTTATGCGAAAAGAAATACTCTAAGAAGGATGAACTCAAACGCCACGTCGAAGCGGATCATTATGGCACCACACATGCATGTGACAAATGCAATAAGACATTTAAACGAAAGGATAAACTCAGATTCCACATTGAATCGATACACAATAATGGTAAAAAACATGAATGCCGCGAGTGCGGTAAGAAATTCGCTACAAAGTACGAACGCACAGTCCACGTCGATGCGGTTCATAGAAAAATAACTTTTGAATGCGATACCTGCAAAAAGAAATTTTCCACTAAAAGTTATCTCCGAGTTCACATCGATTCGGAGCATAATAAAATTACTCACGCATGTGATATATGCGGAAAGTCATTTCCACGAATTCCCAGTCTCAAGAGGCACATTGAGACGACGCATACTAATATCACTCATGCATGCACAAAATGCGAAAGTACATTTAAACGAAAGGATGCGCTCAAGGTCCACATGGATAAATTTCATCGCAAGCGCGGTAAGACTTCTTAAATACGTTCACGATCTGTAAGTGCATTCACTCTAAACCCAAAAGAGTAATTTTCGAACATACTAATTTTCGAAAAGAGTAAGCTGCGTTATTTACTCTTTTAAAAAAAGTAAATAACGCAGTTTACTCTTTTGAGGTTCGAAAATGACTCTTTTGGGGATTTAGAGTGTTCCTTCCAAGATTTTCTTCTATGTAAACCATAAAACAACCACATGTATGTTAATAAAAATCTACAATTTATTTTAGAAAAGAAAAGCCTTTTTTAATCATAGCGCATAGCGTTGCCAGCTGGGCGCATGATAATGGCTTGGTGCTCAACGTCTCCAAGACAAAGGCCATAATGTTTGCTTTCGATCAAAACCTGATGCGCGTTCAGTGGGACCTTTGCAGTGAGATCGTGCTCGAAGGTACCGAGACCCCCTTCGAAGATTGTGTCAAGAATCTTGGACTAATGATGCATCGTTCTCTCAGCTGGAAGAATCATGTCATTATGCTCCACTTCGATTATCGACATCAAAGCTACCACTGGCATCAAACTCAAAAGACTACTCAATTGAGGAGCGCACCTCGCGCTCCTTCTGGCAAGTATGACAGAGAGAGCTGCGGCGTTACGCTACTTATATACACAGTGTCGGCTTTTTTCGCTACCAGCGAAAACTATTTTTCACTCTCATTTGAATTCTATTACATGTATAAGTTACATTTTTAGGCTTGCTTTGATCAAGATCATCATCAAATAGTCCCTCCTGAAAATAAAGCAAGAAACAATCAGCCCAAATAACCCAAGTAACCCAAATTAAAGAAGAGGTAAAAAAATTACCGGATCGCTACTATCCTCCGCTAAGTAGACATAGGTCTCTGGGTGGTGTTTGTCGCTGCTCTTACAAACATGGTTTCGCAAAGTCTTCAAATTCATTTTGTAGTAGCGATAGTCCTCGTACTTCTTGTCCACCTTGACTGCCTTTTCGTCAACGAGAAGCGCAAATACACGATCTGATCGACGCGCCTATCTGCTTAATTTGTTCCTCTACAAGATGATATCAACCGCGCGTCCAGAGTATCTCAGTGATTTCTACCATCTACCCAAAGATCTGATCCGTAGATCTGCACGACACGCTGGTGGAGCCCGGACACTGGAAGTTCAATTTGCAGACCCCACTACTTATAAGATGGGATTCGCCATCCAGACAGCAAATGAGTGGAATTCGATTCCAGCACAGATCCGCTCGGCTAGCTCGCTCCCACTGTTCAAACGATTGTTGCGAGACCATACGAAACGCTCACCTAGTGCTTGATAATTGTCTGCTTGTCATGTGTAATTGTAATTTTTGTAATTTTTATTTTGTTCATGTTATTAGTTACTAGAATTCTGAGAATAGTTTTAGTTGAAGTTAGCTTTATTACTTTTTGTTATTGTTGGCTTTCTGCTCTGGCTATACTGATTTATATTGTCGTTAAGATTTTGCATCATTTTGTACATTTAAAATTTAAAATTTAAAATTGTATTGTGTTTTTGCCACTTGCCATTCGGCCTCAATGACCTTGGCATAATAAAATTTGTTCAGCCCCAGCGAAAATTTTTTATTAAATAAAGTGCATAATAATGTTGTGAACTGTAATAAAAAGTAAAAAAGTGTAAAATAATGTAAGATTATTAACGATTTCGGACATATGTTACGTTTTTCTACGTATAACTACAAAGATGAAAACCCTATGAATTCAAGCCCATTAATGGCTATATATTTACTCTAAAATACCAAGTATGATCAAACCCAGTAAATAAATTTTTATTCGTGATAATAATTCAGTTTCCCATCGAAGTTTACATAACTCAGCTTTGATTCGATTTGATTTTAGCAAAATAAGAATCAGTTTATTTGTTACGAGGCTGCGAGCTACATCAAGCTAATCTTTGTTCAATGTTACTCAGCGAAAATATTAATTACGATAAAAAAACTTTTATACAACTCCCGAAATTTTTAAAATCTCAAAGCGCCTACGTACAGGCAACCCGCCAACACGCACGTGCAGTCGCTTGAAATCGAGCTCTCTCGTCACATTGTTCGTAGCTTCGAAAATCTCACACCTTCATAGAGATCGAAAACATAAGCCAATGAGCGCTCTCATATAGCAATAAAATTTTGAATTTTGATATAGGTGCAAGCAGATGTTACCTCGTTCCATCTCGACACAGATTCATCGATTTTCATCAATCAAACATACGCTTGCTTTTTAAAAGTGTTCACATTTTCTCTCGGACATCGACCACGTGCAAGACTCCGTCAAAATGTAAGTCGAAAATTTATTCATTCTCTTCTTTTTACATTAATTTCATTGTTATTCCTCGCATAAGCAACTTCAACATTCTAATGAATGAATAACTGCCAACAATAGCAATCAATGATTAATAGCCATTATGTCAAGAGTAAATCTAGTTTCATTCTTACTACGCCCACAATTGCTTGGTTAGTCGCCAAGCTTTTTCAAACTTACGTGTATCGTCCGATCAAAAAGTGTAGCATGCGATGTAGTTCGAACTCTGCCAGTTGCTGCTTAAGACTCTAACGTATGAAATATATGTATGTGGCATTTCACGTCAACTCTCGTAGTGCCGCACAGCGCGGCATTATTTAATCAAATCGCTAATTTTATAACTCTCTATAAAAGTACCTAAATGCACCTACAAGAAAAAAGTAACGCGCCATGTCGATGGGAAATTGCCTCAGCTTTCCAATAGTGAGGTCAGATTTCCCGAAATTTTCAGATTTACCCGGAAAAAATAGTTGGAAAACTTTAAAGTCGATTATCTCAAAAACTTCACTTTTAAAATTTTTCTAAATAGTGTAGTTCGAAAGATAAAAAATTTGTCCATCCATATAAATACTTTCTAGAGATTTTAGCAAACTATAACGAGAGAAAGAACAAAATACGGGGCTTTTTTCGTGGTTTTTGCATGCTCGACCGTCGCAGCGCGCGATAAAACCTGACTTGAAATGACACACATGAGAAACATCGCTAGTCGCAAACTACGAGTCGATTACAACGTGCAACACCCACGATACGATATATGACGTATTCCACGCTCGATCAGACAGTGTGCTCGTGAGGGGCATTTTTTAATGTACCGCAACTTTTTTAACTCGCCGTGAACAGCGCAATTATGCCTGAAAAAATATTGCATATAATTCCTATAGACTTTTATCTGTTCTTTCCACAGGGGGTATTAGTTTTTCAAAAAAAGTTAATTTTCATGGAGAAAATTGACTTTAAAGTTGACTCAATTTTTCGGCAAGTATACCACCTTCGATTTTATTCGTAGATATCTCAATCGATAGGAAATTTAATAACAAAGATTTAAAAAAAATTCAAGTTGAAGACTCAAACGGTTCAAAAGTTATGAACAATTAAGTAACAAAAAACAAGGTTTTACGGATGAATTCTAGCCTCGTGCGGCCGCTCTCTGCTTAACCGGTAGAAGAGGGGGTAACGGGAGTCGAAGAGAATAGATGCCCGCTGCCGTTAAACCACGTTTTTGCTACTTAATTTTTCATAACTTTTGAAACGTTTGAGTCTCCGACTTGAATTTTTTTAACTTTCGTATTAGATTACCTATCGATTGAAATATCTATGAATGATGCGAAGAGGGTATACTTGCCGAAAAATTGAGTTAACTTTAAAGTCAATTTTCTCCATGAAAATTAATATTTTTTGAAAAATTAATACCCCCATTGGAAAGAACAGACAAAAGTCTATAGGAATGCTTGTGCGCAATATTTTTTCAGACATAATTGCCCCAGCCACGGCGAGTTAGAAAAGTTGCGATACATTAAAAAATGCCCCGCTCGAGCGCACTGTCTGGTCGAGTGTAAAATACGTCATATTCTCATGTTCTTGTGGTAAAAAATGTAATTTATAATTATTGAGAAAAATTGGGAATATCTATACACAGCCGCTCTAATGCATAGTACACATTCCACCAAACTAACCATTGTTTCTCAATGTAAAGACCTTGAGGGCACGTTTTGTATATATTTTAACAACGATAAGTGATTGAAAATTTGAAATAAAAAAAATTGACTACAAAAACACGATTTTTGTGTGAATTTGCAATTTTTTATTATAAATTGTTAATTTACGCAATTTCAAATACCACCTTTGGAAAGAGCACTGTTATACCATAAGGTATTGTGATTTTTATAATTTTTCTCGTGTCGACTAAAAAAATTCGAGGCATTATAAGTGCGCAAAATCGAATGTCAAAAACGTGTCCTTTGAGCGTTAATGGATTAAACTGATTATAATAATTTCAGGGTGAAAGAGGAACCATCTGAAGTGTCGTTTGACGAATGTGGAGATGGAATAATGAACGAGCCCATTGATCATAAAAACGTCCAACTATTGCCGTTTCGAGATAATTTGGTGAGTATTATGAGCAACTGCTATCGTAATTTTTTTTAATGAAAATTTTAAATTAACTATAAATTTCAACAGGTCCTTAGGATTCCAAGATGCGACGATATGATGATTGAATTCGAATGTAAAGATGTGAAGCCCAATAAGAATTTATTACTAGGAAAGAAAATGAATTTGACCAAAATTAAAAAGGAATCGAAGAAAAAAATAAAAGAAGAAGTTGTTAACGACATGGCAGAAGAATCGAATTCGAATTTTGACGGTGAAGTCAATAACGAAATCGAAATCGAATTCGAATGTCACGACGAGAAGCCGAATAAGAATTTATTACTAGGAAAGAAAATGAATTTGACCAAAATTAAAAAGGAATCCAAGAAAAAAATAAAAGAAGAAGTTGTTAACGACGTGTCAGAAGAATCGAATTCGAATTTTGACGGTGAAGTCAATAACGATATGGAAATAGTTTTCGAATGCGTAGACGTCAAACCCAGGAGAGCGAAAAAAGAAAATTTTATTGACAGTGAAGAAGAAATGAATTTGAATTGTGAATCAGTCGAAAAAAATAAAAAAAGGAGAATCGCCAAAAAGTTTAACCATCAAAATAGACTCAGAGCACAGAGTGATACGGATCAAGGTGGTAGCATCCCCATGCGTGAAACTCGTGGAAAGAAATGTGCACGAAAACCTAAAGTAAAAGTTGACTCGTTGCATGATAAAACTAGTTTTGAATGTGATATATGCAAAAAGACATTTGCACAAAACGTGGGTCTCAAAAGGCACATGAGTCGAACACATAATGGAGCCATTCATGCATGCGATAGATGTGATAAGACATTTAAACGAACAGATGCCCTCAAAGACCACATTATTGCAATCCATAGTGGTATGAAATATAAATGCGGTAAATGTGGGAAGAGATTCATTTCGACAAGTGAACGCAAAGCTCACGTCGATGTAGCGCACAATGGTATCACTTTTCAATGCGATTTTTGCAAAAAGTCATTTGCACAAAAATTTAATCTCCAAATTCACATTGATGTAATCCACAATGGTAAGAAGCATCAATGCGGTATGTGTGGAAAGAGATTCTCTTCGACGGGTGAACGAGAAATTCACGTCAATGAGGCGCACGATGGTAAATATTTTGAATGCGATGTATGTAAAAAGACATTCATGCACAAAACCACCATCCGAATGCACATCGATTCAGTACATAAAGGTATTAAATATCCGTGTGACATGTGCGGAGAAAAATTGGCTACGAAGCAAGATCTCAGGATCCACATCGATTCGGTGCATAGTAAGATCACTTTTGAATGTGATATATGCAAAAAGACATTTGTCTGTAATAGTTCTCTCAAAACCCACATCAATGCAATACATTATGGTAAATTACATGGATGCGGTACATGCGGGAAAAAATTTAAAGCGTATAGTGCTCTCCAAATTCACATCAAAGCAGTGCATAGTAAAGCTACTTATGAATGTGATATATGCAAAAAAACATTCCCCTGTAAGAGTTATGTCAAAACCCACATTGTCGGGATGCATAGTGGTACCAAGTTTTCATGCGACACATGCGGGAAGAAATACTCCACGCGTGGTATGCTTAATAAGCACATCGATGCGACGCATAAAAAAATCTCTCATCCATGTGATATATGCGGAAAGTCATTCAAGCAAAAATATGGTCTCCAATTTCACATCAATACTGCACATAAAGGTATCAAACATAAATGCGGCAAATGCGGAAAGAAATACGCATCTAAAAGTAATCTCCGACTTCACATCGATGCGGCGCATAATGGTACCGGACCTAAATGTCAAATATGTGGAAAATTATTTTCACACCATTTAACTATGCAACGCCACATCGATTCGATTCATAAAGGTATCACTAAGTCATGCGAAATATGTGGAAAGGCATTTGCTCTTCAAACTAATCTCAAATCACACATAGATTCAGTGCATAAGGGTATTAAACATCCGTGTCATATATGCGGAAAGAAATTCTCTACGAAAGGTGAGATAAAATTCCACATCGAAGTAGTGCATTGTAAAACCAGTTTTGAATGTGATATATGCAAAAAGACATTCGCGTGTAAAAAATATGTCCAAAACCATATTGTTTTGACGCATTGTGATAAGAAATATAAATGCGGCTCGTGTGGGAAGAAATTCTTTACGGAGGGTAAACGCAAAAAACACATCGATTTGGTGCACGATGGTAAAAATTTTGAATGCGATATATGCAAAATGGTATACATGCACAAAACCAGTATCCGAAAGCACATCAAATTAATGCATAATGAAATTACTCATGTATGTAATATATGTGGAAAGAAACTCAAGACTAAGGATCATCTCAAAAAACACATCGATGTGGCACACGATGGTAAAAATTTTGAATGTAATATATGCAAAAAGACATTCACACGAATTGATTATTTCAGAGCCCACATGGAAAAGATGCATCGCTAGAGCATTGTATTATAGTCATTTACGGTCGATATAACTAATTTATAAAAATTCTTTATCATTGTAATATTATAAATGCCTTCTATGTCATGTCATGAAAAACGACCTAAATTTTAATAAAAGACAATAAACATTTTCGAAGAAAAATGCTTCACTGTATTATTTTTATTGTATGATAGATATAACTTAAAATTACCCAGAAGGCCTCGATCGAAGCCGAAGTAACGATATGATTATGCCTCGTTCGTATTTAATTGAAAACTCTTAAGTTTATGTTATTTGTTCAGTCGAATGATATTTTTTAAATACTACTTATATAACAATTGAAATAATCAACTCGAACTTCTGCATTCACAGTCGCTTACTTGAAGTCTCTCGGTATACATCGCGATATCCCTCGTTAACGCCCAAAATTGTATAAAAAAATAATAACGATCGAGCCTAATTCAGCTTGTAATTGTTTATTTTCCATACAAAAGGTTGAAGAGGATCGAAATCGTAAGCGGGTCGCGTCGCACCAACTAAAACCTTTATCGTCTCGACTATATAACGCAACGAACTGCTGACAAATCTTTTTTTTTCTTTATTCATTATTTTTTTTCAGCTTCTCTTATATATAAATATATACAAATTACAACTACGAATATACAATTGTTTCACTATACAAAATATCCATGCGTAAAAGTTACACACACACACACACGCGCGCGCACACACAAATACATTACAACACATCGTCGTCGTCTTCGTGGTCGTCATCATCGTACACGATACGAAACACATATGATAATAAATAAATAAATTTACATCGTGTAATACACCATATCGTCGTGGATTATTTTTTATCTACAAATTATTGTCCTTCCTGACCTCGTCCATCATGAGGATCCTCACCGCGTCGAGCTGCTTGTCGATCGCGCGACTGATGAAATTCGTCCCGCCGTTGCTCTTGTTCGTCGTCGTCGTCGTCGTCGTCGTCGTCGTGGTCGTGATCATCTCGTCCACGACGTCTTCGCCGGAACCACCGGCATTATTGGCTGCTCCACCATTGGTACCTCCACCAGCAGCACCAGCGCCTCGACTCGTTCGGCCGGCACGATGATGGGGCAGGGCGTAGCGCAGCTTCTGCCAGAACCACGGATCGCCCCACTTGACGTAGGTGTTGCTCTTCAGGTAGGCCCGTAGATCGTCGTCGAGCGCCTCGATCGGCCCGACGTCCTCCATGAGCACGATCACGAGACGCAGCCGCATCTTCTCGCTCAGTGCGAGCTTGTGGGCCGTCTGGAACTCCAGTCGGCCCCACTCGCTCTCGACGAAGCTGCGCGTCAGCACGATTATCGTGCGACAGGACTCCTGGACGCTGCGCTCGATCTGCTCGACGATCCACTCGCCGGCGCGCCAGTCGCGCACGTGTATGCAGAGCCGATAGGGCTCGGGGCCCGACTCGAGTTTGGCCACCAGCTCGTTCATCACGAAGTCCTCGTCGGCGTGCGAGTAACTGATGAAGGCGTCGTAGAGCTTGTCCTTGTCGATCTCCTCCTCGCTCACCAGGCCCAGGCAGAGATTCATGGAGTAGAGCCAGATCTGGATCTCGCGCTGGTAGCAGTAGTAGAGGGCCAGCGAGCAGCCGAGCACGAAGCCGAGGACGCCGACGCAGGAGCAGAGCCAGGCGAGCCACGTGGGTACACCGGCGCCGAGGAGGCTGGTGCAGAGCTGCTGGGCCGTGAGCGAGGCCAGGCTCGTGCCGTTCTCGTCGGCGCAACGGACATCGGCCAGATTCAGGACGTCGGAGGCGCGCTGCTGCACGAACAGCAGCAGCTCGTGGTTGGGGCAGTCGCAGGACCAGGGGTTGTCGTCGAGGCCGAGGCGCTCGAGCTGGGCCGACGAGCCGAGGACTCGAAGGGTGGCCGGGTCGATGGTCGTCAGATTGTTGCCTCGAAGATTCAGCGCCTGTATAGCAAAATTTCACCTCGGTCAAATTTTCTCCCTACGTAATGATACTACGGTACTCGACAAAATTATCGCAACACAAAATTTCACCGAAATTTTGTCAATTATCAAATGCTTCTACATTGGTTTATTTTCATCTTATCGGGTGAATATCGGGATTCAAGTCAATATCCAGTTACCAGTAGTGTTTAAGCGCAACTTTAAAAATTACTGAAAAAAATTCATTGTTTGAACGAGTTCATGAACTACGGTGAATTGTTTATCAAGATCTAACATACACTATCGCAAAGTGCTCTTTTCAATAAGTTATTAAAAAAAAAGAATAGATGAATATCTCGACTATAATTTTTGCGCTCTGTAGGTCATTTTGAAGGTACGATTTCTGTACGAAAAATACTCAAAAATATATTTGATTTTAGCTAAACAAGGTATTTTATGTACTCTAAATGGTACCTTCAAAATGACCTACACAGCGCAAAAATTATCGTAGAGATATTCATTCATTTTTTTTTTAATTACTCATTGAAAAGAGTACTTTGCGATGTTACTGTAATCCATGGACACGTTAAAATAATCAATTTTTTTCAATTGGTTTTTTCAATGGATTTCAATGAGACAAAATTTCCAAGAAATAAAAAAAAACAGCTCTAACAATGAATACAGAACAAGATAGAAGCATTTGAAAAATCGGTAAGTCGGCGATAGTTTTGTTGAGTAGCGTGTACAACGATCGTCATTTACCTTCAAGTTGGGCGCGGGCTTCGTCTGCTCGAACTCGCCGATGTCGTTGTCGGCGAGGTCCAGGGCGCAGAGTCGCTCGTAGCCGGCCTGCTCGAATCTCGGCGCTCGCCTCAGCGAGTTGTGGCTGAGATCGAGCTCGACGCAGTCGGCCTGGCCGTGATTGGCCAGTCTCGGCGGGGCCTCGGTCAGGTTGCGCTCCGAGCAGTCGAACAGCAGGGCCCGATCGGCCGGCCTCAGCCAGCAGTCGCACGGTCCCGTGGGTCCGCACGCCTCGTAATCGTCCGCGCCATCCTCCTCCTCCTTCTCCTCATCCTCCTCGTCCTCGTTCATCTTGTCGTACTCGACGTCGACGAGGCACTTGAAGCTCGATGCCTCGAAGCTGCTCAGCAGTCGGCCGGTTGCGTAGTCGGGCCCGTAGCAGCGTGCCTCGTCCAGATCGAAGCTCACGTAGGCCCGCGCCTGGGGCGTGGTGCTCTCGCCCGAGACGTGGCGCAGCAGCGGATACAGGCTGCAGTCGCACTGCACGGGATTGTGGCCGAGCTTGATGCTCAAACGTCGTTGCTGCTGCTGGAGCTGGTCGAGGTTCGCCGTGAGCAGCTCCAGCTGGTCGAGATTCACGACGGCTATGCGATTGTGGCGCAGATCGACGTCCAGCTGGGACGAGACGAATTGCAGATCGGTAGTCTGAGCGGAAAAAGATTAATCAATTGATGGAATAAAAATACGTATCTCGATGAAACTTCTTTCTTTTGATTTTTTTTTATGATTCAAAGAAAACTATTAATTTGATTATTATGAAATTTTAGTACGAAAATTTTACTACTACTTAGAATGAACTAAAATAAAAAATATCAACGTAATATTTTTGGAGTTGGGAGCGATTTTCGAAATAAAATCGATGCTCGTAAGACTTGAAATTTCAGAACGATCAATTGATTCCTTTGAATTTTTTTATTTCTTTTTACATTAGACACTGAGTCATAATAATTTAGGAAATAATCGTTTCAAGTAGCGCAAGGACAATTTTAGTCCAAGTGCTCACCGACACATAACATCATTTATCAATATCAATCTGTAAATTTTTCCGTATGTCATGATAATCGCTAAATATTTTTTCATCGAGAGAGGCTTTTGTCAATAATTAATGTCTAAATAATGACCTCAAAAAATTTATTAATATCAATCTAATTTTTATAATGAATGTTAAAAATAACATTTACAAAGATTATTTGACCTTGTCTGATAAAATTTATTTACCGATTTTTCTGTCTGACAAATAAATTGCATTTTTCACTATTTTTTTTGTCAGACTGAAAAATCTATAAATAAATAATCTTTGTAAATTTTATTCTTAACATTTACTGAAAAAATTAGATTGAAATTAATAAATGTTTTGTGGTCATTACTTTGGAAACATTTATTCGCAAAAAGTCGTGGTTGACATAAAACTTTTTAGCGAATATCTGTCAGACTGGGCTTTATAAATACATATAGAAATTTACAGATTGTTATTTATAAATGATCTTAAATTTTAGTGGGCACTCTATTAGACTATTTAGTATATGTAAAAAATTTTAGGGGAATATGTCAGATATATTGAGACGTATAAGGTCCTTTTAAAAATTACGTACCATCAGAGAGCTAAACTGATTGTCGGACAGGTCGAGCTTGCGCAGCTTGGCCATGTTCAGGGTCCAGTCGGCGTAGATCTCCGACACGTTGTTGTTGGCCAGATAGAGCTGCTCCAGCCGCGCGCACGGCCTCAGCGGCGACACCGAGCCGAAGTGATCCGTCAAACCGGTGGCGAGGCTCAGTCGATTGTTGGACAGCCGGGCGACTCGGAGCTCGACCAGATCGGCGAACGCGTCCAGGTGTATGTGCTCCAGCTGATTGCTCTCGAGGTTCAGCTCTTGGAGCGACTCGAGGCCGCGCAGGCTCAGTCTATGAGCATTTTTCATGAAATTATCATTGTACGATTTTCGGGGATGGTTGCTTTACGTTAAAAAAAAATAATAATCTCACTCGTTGATGGCGCTCAGTCGATTCATCGATAGGTTGAGCTTGGTCAGCTTTCTCGTCCTGGCGAACAGACCATCGGGTATCACCTTGAGATCGTTGAACACCGCGGAAAAGCTCCTCAGCTCCGACTGATCCTCCAACAAGCTCTCCGGCAGACTGGTCAGGAAGTTCTTGTCGAGATTCACGTCGCTGAGATTGCGACTCGCCCTGAACAGATCCGGGGGCAGCCGGTGTATCTTGCTGCGGCTCAGCACGACGCTCGTCAGGCCCGGCAGATCGGCCAGCAGTCGGCGCGGCAGCTCCGTGATATTCGCCCGGTTGTTCGGCATCTTCAGCACCTTGAGTCGCTGATTGGCCGAGAACAGACCGGGCGGCAGATAGGAGAAACGATTGCCGCCCATGCTGAGCACCTCGAGCTCCGTGAGCTCGGCGAACAGGTCCGCAGGCAGGGTGACCAGCTGATTCTGCTGGATGTCGAGGGTGTGCAGGCTGCGGCCGAGGCCGCGAAAGGCCGAGGCCTCGAGGTGCTCGAGCTCGTTGGACCAGAGATTGAGGAGCTCGATGCGTCGCAGACCGTCGAACAGGCCCGGCTTGACGCTGCGCAGCTCGTTCTTGCCGAGCTCGAGGGCGCGCAGCTGCGGCGACTTGAGGAAGAAGCCCGAGGGCGGATCGATCCGGGTGTTGCGTAGCTCCAGTACACGTAGATTCGGCACGCCTGCGAAAAAATCGAATCGATGTCGAGTTATATTGCTTTTGAATTCTTTGATTCTTGAATTAATTCAACACAAGAATTAATCATTTTTGGACATAGCTTTTATAATGACGAGTTATATCACTTAACAAGGAGACTACATGAGATGCGGGTCACGAAATGTCATGAAAATTTTTTTCTCATACAAAAATAATTTTCAAATTTATTGAAAAATCTTTGTGATTTTCTAACCCACAACAGGACATCTTAAACGAAAAATTGCAAAATGTACAAGTCTTAAAATTAGTCAAAGAATACATTTGAATTTTTTCAGAATTTTTGAAACCAACTATCACATATTTTCAAAGGTCTCTGAAATTCTTGAGAAAAAAGTGAAATCGCGTTAAATTTGGGCCTTTGAAAATAGGTGATAGCAGGTTTAGAGGATTCTGACAAAACTCAGACGCACTTTTTGACTAATTCTAAAACTTGTACATTGACCAATTTTCCGTTTAATATGTCCTATTACAAGTTAGAAAATCACAAAGATTTTCCAATAAACTAGAAAATGATTTTTAAAATGGGCCTTAAGGCCCATTGGATCAAACTAAGCATAGGTAGCTTTATTATTAAATACCAGGAGACCAGAAAAAAATTTTCAGGACATTTGGTGACCCGCATCTCATGTGGTCTCCTTGTATGAGGGGTTCGAAAAATTTTCGAGATGTCATTTCTTGCTCGGAGAAATTTATATATGTGACTTTTTTGACTTATGGCAAAATTTATTATGAATGTATCAAATTTTATTAGAAAATAAATATTATAAAAATACGATAATATAGTAGTAAATTTTGTCATACGTCAAAGATTTCACAATTTTACTATAAAGTATATTCATTTTTCCTATCAAAGTTTCTCAGTGTACGTAAAATTTCACACAATTATTTTAAAACTTTTATAAATACCCATGTTGTTGTTTTTGTTTTTAAATTACCCACATCTTTCTATTACAAGTTTTTTCGACTATTTTGACATCAGATTCCGAAAGTACGTGAAATCTCACGTAAGAAATGACATCCTAACAACTTTTTGAACCATTTTCTAGTCGAGCTATCAAAAAAAAAATGACAAATTCAGGTATCCAAATGCTCAACGGTATCAAAATCATCTCATATCGTACCTCTGAGCAGATCGAGCTTGATCTCGTGCTGGGACAGGTCGTTGTTGGACAGCGTGAGTCGCCTCAGGCCCGGGAACGCGGCCAGATCCTCGGGGCTCAGCTCGCCCTTGAGATTCTCGAGATTCAGCTGCTCGACGTCGCGCACCCCCAGTGCCTGCACGACGCGCTTGATCTCTCGGGCGCCCGGCATCGGACAGGCCGACCAGATGATCCTGGCCACGGGGCCGATGTCGAAGCGGACCTGGCGCAGCTGATCCGACCAGCGGGTCGTGTTGCCGGCGCGACACTGCAGCCGCAGATAGGCGCCGGGCCCGATCACCATGTCGAGCGAGGGCCTCGCGACGATTCTCTTGTTGTTGTCGTTGACTTTGTCGTCGTCGTCGTCCGGTGGGACGCAGTGGATCCTGTACTCGTTGATGTCGCTGGCGTAGCAGTGGCAGGGAGAGCCCGTGGGGCATTCCAGGGCCAGGGTGGGCCTCGTCGCGCACCAGAACACGAGCAGCAGCGACACGAGCAGGCCCACGGCCGACAGTCTACCGGCGAACGACATGACGTATAGCTCTCTCTGCTCGATGAGAACTTTACTTTAACTCTTGCTTCGAAATTCTTCGTCTACCCGATGTCGCGCGGATAACCCATATAAGTTATATATCTTTTATAATAAAAAAAAAGAGAGAGAGAGAGAGAGAAGAGAAAAAATTGTAACGACGATGCACCCTATCGAATAAACACAGCAGCAGCAGAAGCCGTATTAGACTGTGTACACACAACCGGTTAATTCGAACGCACGCACAGAGAGAGAGAGACACGGTAATTCGATATATCAATCGAACACACGCACGAGACACTTGTATACAACGGCAGCGACGAACAATTTTTCGGTGTATATCATATACACGCACTGAATTTTTGGACACTAATTGATAACTATATAACAATGATACACTCTCACTCGTTGCACAGCACAGAAAAACAACGACGAACAAAAAAAAAAAAGGACGCGCTGTATACAGTAGTAGCACGGAGCACAGAGTCAACGCGAGATTTATAAACATACAACACACAGACGGACGTGTAGAACTCACGTATTAGACACAGCGATCTCGCCTTTCGGAGCGAATCGTACGGGGCGGCATTTCATCAACGAGAGACTCTCGTTACTACTACTACTGCCGCTGCCGCTGCTGCTACCACTTCACGGCGAGGCCCGCGAAGAATTGAACGCGCAGGGACACGGGGGGCAGCCCCCAGCTCGTTGGCTGTATGACAGAGAGAAAGAGAGAGAGAGAGAGAGAGAGAGAGAGAGAAGCAGGAGATACACCGGTCGGAGCGCGCGACACACGACCCACGCGCGCGACGCAAATCGAGGAGAGAGCTTATGTTTCCTTTAAAAAATAGTTTCATTCGTGTTAGGATGTACGCGTGTGTTTTTTTTTTTTTAGATTTAAAATGAAAAAAAATAAGAGAAAGAGACCAGAAGAGAAGAAGGAAGTCCTTCTCGGGTACGCAGCGCGCGCGCGAGTGTTACCACTCGAGCGTGGCACACGTATACGGAACACTACCTAAAAAAGCAGTATAGTAGTAGTAGTGGTGGTGGTGTATGTATTATACAGGGTATATATAGGGAGACTCGAGCTGTGCGCGACATGGAAGCGGCGATCTCTGTTTCGGTACACCCTATACCTTGTATACGGCAATGGCTCGGTGGTCCCGCGGCTACAAAGCGCATCCCCCTCTCGGCTGCTGCTGCTTCTCTTTTTATTCTCCGCTGCTGCTGCTGCATGTGTGCGATCCCTTTTGACAAATACACGCACACGTGTACGAACGTATAGCAGTGTATACCGTGTATACGTGTATATTACGCACCGGTCGCATCGGATTAAATTCGCGCGGATCCTTTTTTCTTTACTCCATTTCCTTTGTCGACGTGATTCTCTCTCTCTCTCTCTCTCGGCGTTACGATATACGCGCACAGAGAGACGCACGGAGATGCCGAGCCGTATCGGTAATGCAGCTACTGCTCTGATATAGGTATTGTGCGAGGCTTGGCAAATTCCTCGATGATTAAGACGTATGTACGCGCGTAACGTATTCTAATTTATCTGCAGCGGCGCAAGCTCACGCGTGTATATTACGTACGCGGCAAAATATTTATATTTTCAGGCGCAGAGGACGATCTCCGCCGCCGCCGCCGCAGCGCTTGTTTATTATTTTGATCCGCTGTGTCAGGCAGCTGCGCGGAGGATATAGGTCCACGTTTCGAGATCTGCGTTTCGTTACACGAGTGTAGGCTCGCGAGTAATTGACGCTAGTGGCCGATAAGCGGCGCGTGGGCATTTAAGTTTGACACTCGTGTCCAATATCGACCGGTCGAGTGAATATGAAAGCGAGAAACGAATCGACGTACACACTGATAATCGGCAGTTTATTGCAGTTTATTGAACGAGATCAAAAATAAAATGTTCACTCGTTAATTATTACACGCTGGAATGATATAATACTTATTATTCGGTTCGGTAAACATACTGCTGTCAAAGAGATGGGTATTAGGTATACACGCCGGGGCTACGATCAGTCGCCATAAAGCACTAATTTAATCTTAATGAACGGACGGATCAAGAAACTGTCGCATCGACATTTAATTCGGAAATACGAGAATGTAGTATCGAACAGCTGAGAGGATATGTAAGGCGAGAAACGAATCGATACAGATCGTTTTTTTTTTCATCATTGATATTAAATTATAATGGTTCGGACTAAAGCGAATTATTTGTATACATCGATTGATGCGTGATACGATCGACAAGCGCGCGAGATTTTTCCAATTTTTTTCTTCTTCCCTCGTAGATTTATATACAAATCGGTATATCGCCGAGTGGACATCGTTTTTCTTGCGAAATTGGTAGGCGCGTTTAGTTTCGTTGTATAAAATACACGTGTATAGCATTATTATTCGTAGGACAAAACGCGTATACAGTACTCGACGCGTAGGCGCGAAGAGAAAGAAAAAGAAAATAGACACACGTGTGAGTGACAAAGGAGCTGCCCTCGCACACGTATACGCACACACACAAGACACTCCGCTTCGGGACTTTGTGGTCCTCGATACACATATACCGAGTCCCGCGTGTTTTTGCATGTATTCGCCGCCGAAAAAAAGAGTCCCAAGACGTATACACAAAACTCGTATTGTGCGTGTATTAAGTGCTTATGTGCCGAAGCGGCCGAATCTTCGCAGGTGTCGAGGGCTAATGTATGTAGAGCTTTTATATACGAGAATGGGCGAATTCCGCGGAATACGTATATATGCTGTCGACGAAAAAGGCGGCTACCACATACGAATGTATTTTTTTTTTTTTTTGAGCCTGGAACAATCGAGGTACGCGTTCGTTGAAATGTTCGCTTCGGCGCAAAAATTCAATTGGCTCGTGCGATCTTTGATGTATCCATAAGCATAACAACTATAATAATAATAATAATAATAATTTATTCGTATACCTACCACAAGCTCGCCTTGTATACATTAAGATATATTTTCTTACAAAAAAGAAAACAAAAGGCCTGGTATCGGATCGCGCCTTACCTTCACTTTTCTTTCCTGTCATACACCGTTCTTGTATATTTATTATTATGCAGCGGCTACGGCATTTCCGAAAAGCGAGAAAACAGCAGCAACAACAACAACGAGAGGTGCTTTCGTTGGCCGTGCGGCTTGCGGTGGAGGCGGACACATGGTCGTGCGCACCGTACCGTATCTCTCTTTTTTCTCTATGCACTCGTATACTACGTTACGCACCGCTGCGATGCCGCAAGCGCGACAAAAAAAAACTGATACAAAAGAAAGGAAAGAGTCGAGAGTAGACGACGAGAGAGAAATTTTTCTTAACCCGCAGCGCGTCGGGTGTACGTGTATGGTTTATCTTGGAAAGAGAGCAAGAGAGGCCAATTACATCGAGAGGCTCGAGACGCGCTCGAGTATCGAGTGACACGCGCGCCGACGAGGAGGCGCATGCACATTTTTTATATGTGTACGATGAAAAATTAAATAAATACGCTGACTCGACGGAATTATGACGTACACGAGGTACGGCGTATAGCGCGATATAGACTTTATCTCGCGCGCACCATTGAGATTTTTATATTGCTATGATACGGAGGACTCGGAGATTCGGAGGACTGTATATTATGAGCGATGAACTCACCACGTAAGCGAAAGTTTACGCTTCTTGGATTATTATCATTGCTACCCTTCGTCGGGCGATTCGATGCATGAATGAAAGTAACCAGTGTATGGTTGGTTAACTGCAATTGTACTTTTTATTTTTTCAGTGACGTTTTACATCTTCTTTTTCTTTTATTTTTCTAATTTTGGAATAGTTGAATATCAATCTACTATTGAACAATTATTTAATGAGCTATGATAGTAATGAAATCAAACATATTCTGACAACTATTCGTACGCAAAATGAAATTTTCTTTTTCAAACTTTAATTATACTAAAAGTCTGAAAAATAATTCAGTACGTGATTTTTAACACCTATTTTGTATAAAAAAACCTTACTTATGATTCTACTTGCCCGGCCGTCTCAATCGAAATCGATGCGAACCTTTACAACATGATGAAAAGAAGGCTTTGCGTACTTCCAATATATCCAAAAATATTGGAATAAAATTTTTTTTTAAATGTTAAAGAATCATTTATAGCAATAATAACTGATATTATTAAATTTTCAGTATAAATTGACATTTCTTATTGATTCATGACGAAGGCGAACGTCTTGATTTCGATTGAGACGGCCGGGCAAGTAGAATCATAAGTAAGGTTTTTTTATACATATATGCGTATGAATAGTTGTCAGAATATGTTTGATTTCATTACTATCATAGTTCATTAAATAATTGTACAATGGTAGATTGATATTCAAGTATTCCAAAATTAGAAAAATAAAAGATTCGTGAGTTAGATTTGAATTGGGATAAGACTGTCATACTTGCACTCATTTAATATTTTGAAAAAAGTATTACCACAATTTTAAATTACTGTATGGTAAACTTTTTAATTTGGTATAGTATTTGACAAATAAAAATTTCAGTTATGCTGAATAATTGTTAGAATATAGTTCATTTCATTCATATCATAGGCATGTAATTGAACAATGGTAGATTGAGTTTACTAATGAGCATAATAGCTTGAAAAATTTTACATCAATAGCATGAATAGTTTTAATTTTTCAACAAAAGGTACGATTTCTTGACGTCAAGAGATAAATGAGATTTAACTATTTCAAAGCTGACAACCAGAATTGGCAAGCTATTATCATGAAATTTAAGTATGTATTCCAACTACTATTTTACACTAGCTAGTAAAATTTCAGATCAATAGCATGAATAGTTTTCATTTTTCAACAAGAGGTACAATTTCTTGACGTCAAAGTAAAAAATGAGATTTTACTGTTTCAAAGTAAAGATCTTATTTTACTGAATTTTAAATATATATTAAAAACTTCATATTTTTCGGAGAAAGTCGTCGCCTGGTCTATATTCATACCTGGTGCACCGAGTTGGCCACCTGGGGTGATGAAGTAGCAAAAACAGTTCGACTTCCACGGATAAAATCGTCTACCGGGGTATATCGGATAATAATACTCTACGAGAAGAAAAACCTCATGTGTATTGTGATATCGCCTCCAAAAACGCGATATATTTTACGAAAATCGAAAACCAAGAACCCCGGAAAATAGGCAGCCCTATCTCTGTCGAAGTTGGCCGGGAAATAGTTTTTTTTTGAATCCCGGACCTGTCAAATTTGGAAACGAACCACATGGCCCCGGTGCAACTGTCGAAGATTCGATGTTCTCACGGGCTATTAAATAAAAATAAAAAATATAATAGAAAATTAAATCGAACGATCAGAGAAGATCGGAGTTCAAATAACAACATATGTGTCGATAGACGAGTTGCAGGCTGCTCGCGACACCAAGGCAGAGACAAAGACGCGAGTCTCACAGAAATGGAGTTTCCATATAGTTTTTAGCCGCCGAAGCCGTTACGAACGAAAAGTTACACATCGAAGATCTGTAACCGATTCTCTCTATCTAAAAAATTTTTCAATCAACCTCGTTCGCGACTCCGACCAGTGCGGGTCTCTCAGTGCTGAGTGTCCTCTGTTTCTGTGCCACAGCCTCCGTGCCTAGCTGCCTCTGTGCCACGACGCCTGCAGCATCTCAACAATGTAAGTTATAAACGAACAATATATCTATTTTTTTATTTAAATTATTTGCTCCTAACTTGAACTTAATACCTTACCGTAAAGTTACAAAAGTCCCGTCTCCCGACGTGACAGTATGTGTATGTATGTATGTATCGATGTATGAGTTTACGAAAATGTATTATTATTATTGCTCTCGATGATATACATCGACGGTGTAACAATGCATAAGCGTATGACGTGAACACAGTAAATGGTCTGAAACTCATTTTGATCTGACCACTTTTTGATAAGAACGTTTTTTGCGAAGTGGATTTTTCTTTCAATCGCTCGTATTTTGTTGAAAATAAACTTTTTCCGGTTCGTCTTAATTATCGTTGGATTGCATTTTTATCCAGGATTCCATAGCACTTTACAGAATTAAGATATCTGTTATCAAATTCAAATGAGAGTGAAGAAGAGTTTTCTCGGGCAGCGAAAAACGCCAGTGCGATGTATATGAGGAGCGTGTATACGCCGCAGCTCTTTCTGACATACTTGCCAGAGCGAGCGCGAGCGCGCTCCTCGATGGATATATTAGTCGGTATACGTTACGACGTCAATACGTGAAACAGTATAGAAAGCATCGCATCGTCTGAAGCAAGTGATTCTCGTGAAAAATAATTGATAAATTTAATAAGTTCTTATCAGCAATTGCGTGTTGTACGTGAATGTGTGAAATGATGATTTGAAAGTACCAATTATTAGAAAGTTACAATCCCTCTAAATAGGAGTAAAAAATAATAGTAAATTCATGCGTCACAGAATTTTTACTTTATTTTCAAATTGGTCAAAATTTAAACTCTCAAACGGTCACTTCTTGATATGTAAATATTATTAAATTAAGTTCAAGTTAGATCGCTTTTGACTAGCCTAGAAAGTTTAGTCCTTAACAAATTTCGTTGAGAAAAAGATGGAGCCCAGTGAAATATTCAACTCTTCCGTCAAGTAATTTTTATTTCACGTGTGACAAAATATTGTAATTTTAAAAAATATAACTAAATCTTACACAATTATTTCAGGGAGAATAAGGAACCTTCTGAATTGTCTCCAACTGATCATAAAAACGTCCTACACTTGCGATTCCGAGATAATTTGGTGAGAATTAATAATTATAAACTAATGTGATCCTAATTGTTTTTGATGAAAATGTTTACTCAACTATAACTTTCAACAGGTCCTTCGGATTCCAAGATGCGACGATATGGCAATTGAATTCCAATGTAAAGACGTGAAGTCCGATAAGAACTTATTACTTCGAGGGAAAATGGATTTAAACAAAATTAAAAAAGAGCCTGCGAAGAATCTGAAAGAGGAAAACATCGACGACATGGCAGAAGAATCGAATTCGAATTTCGACGGTGAAGTCAATAACGAAATCGAAATCAAATTCGAATGTCACGACGAGAAGCCCAATAAGAACTTATTACTACGACAGAAAATGAATCAAAACAAAATTAAAGAAGAACCCCCGGAAAAAATTAAAGAAGAAGTTGTCGACGACATGGCCGAGGAATCGAATTCGAATTTTGACGGTGAAGTCAATAACGACATAGAAATTGAATTCGAATGTCAAGATGAGAAGCCCAATAAGAACTTATTACTACGACAGAAAATGAATCAAAACAAAATTAAAGAAGAACCCCCGGAAAAAATTAAAGAAGAAGTTGTCGACGACATGGCCGAGGAATCGAATTTGAATTTTGACGGTGAAGTCAATAACGACATAGAAATTGAATTCGAATGTCAAGATGAGAAGCCCAATAATAATTTATTACTACGACAGAAAATGAATCAAAACAAAATTAAAGAAGAACCCCTGGAAAAAATTAAAGAAGAAGTTGCCGACGATATGGCCGAGGAATCGAATTTGAATTTTGACGGTGAAGTCCAAATAGTTTTCGAGTGTGAAGATGTCAAGCCCAGGGTGAATTTACCAGTAGCGCTGAGACCGAAGAAAGAAAATTTTATTGACAGTGGAGAAGAGATGAATTTGAATTGTGAACTAGTCAAACAAAATAAAAAAAAAAGAATTATGAAAAAGTCTACCCTTCAAAAGAGACTTAAATCACAGAGGGGTACACTTCAAATCGGTAGCACCTCGGCGCATAAATCACGTGAAAAAAAATGTGCTCAAAAGAGCAAACTCAAAATAGATGCATTACACAAAAAAATCCCTTTTGAATGTGATATATGTAAAAAGAGATTTACACAAAAAAGCACTGTCAAAAGGCACATTGAATTGATACATATGGGTAAGAAGAAATATAAATGTGGAAAGTGTGGGCAAAAATTCAGAACTAAGAATTCTCTCCAAATTCACATCAATACGGTGCATAATAAAATCACTTATGAATGTGATGTATGCAAAAAGACATTCCTTGTGAAGAGCCATATCCAAGGCCACATTGTTAGAATGCATAGTGGAATCAAATTCACATGCGTTACATGCGGAAAGGAATACTGCACGAAGGGTGAGCTAAAAAATCACACAGATTCGAAGCATAATGGTAAGAGACACGAATGCGGTACATGCGGAAAGTCATTTTCACTTCAGAGAGGACTCCGAATTCACATACGTTTGCTGCACGATAAGCATACGCATACTTATGAATGCGATCGATGCCAAAAGAAATTTCCCAGCGAACGTTATCTCGAAACCCACATTATCTCGAAGCACAGTGGCATCAAATTCACATGCGATACATGCGGAAAGGAATGCTCCAGCAAGATATTGATAAAATCGCACATCAACGCCGTGCATAACAAAATCCTTCACCCATGTAATATATGCGGAAAAAAATTCATGCACAAAACCACCATCAGAATGCACATCGATTCGGTCCATAAGGGTATCAAGCATAAATGCGACACGTGCGGAAAGATATATACGAATACGCCTAATCTCCGCGCTCACATAGCTCAGGCGCATAAAAATAAAAAGACCTCCCATGCGTGTGGTACTTGTGGAAAGACATTCACGCATAGAGCCCGTCTCAAGCTCCACATCAGTTCGAGACACGAGGGTGTCAAGCATAAATGCGGTACATGCGGGAGTACATTCATAACCAAATCCAGTCTCCAGAAGCACATCGATGCTCTGCACAATGGTATCGGACCTAAGTGTAAATTATGCGGAAAGGTATTTTCACGGAACATCGCTCTGCAAACCCACATCGATTCGGTGCACAATAAAATCACTCATAAGTGCGAAACTTGTGGAAAAGTATACTCTCGTGTAAATTCTCTCAAAAGACACATAGAAGAGTCGCATAATAATTTTGCCTTGCCTTGTGAAATATGCGGAAAAATATTCAAACGAAAGGAGAATCTCCAAGACCATATCGATTCGACGCATGACGGTACGGGGCCTAAATGTGAAATATGCGGAAAGAAATATCCATCAAAGAAGCAACTCAGAGACCATATCAATTCGGTGCATAATAAAATCACTTATCCATGTGATATCTGTAAAAAGAAATTGAAAAGCAAAAGTTATCTCAAAATACATAACGATATGGTACATAAGCGCATTAAACATCCGTGTGATTTATGCGAAAAGAAATACTCTAAGAAGGAAGAACTCAAACACCACGTCGAAGCGGAGCATTATGGCACCACACATGCATGTGACAAATGCAATAAGACATTTAAACGAAAGGATAAACTCAGAGTCCACATTGAATCGATACACAATAATGGTAAAAAACACGAATGCCGCGAGTGCGGTAAGAAATTCACTACAAAGTCCGAACGCACAGTCCACGTCGATGCGGTGCATAGAAAAATAACTTTTGAATGCGATACCTGCAAAAAGAAATTTTCCACTAAAACTTATCTCCGAGATCACATCGATTCGGAGCATAATAAAATTACTCACGCTTGTGATATATGCGGAAAGTCATTTCCACGAATTCCCAGTCTCAAGAGGCACATTGAGACGACGCATACTAACATCACTCATGCATGCACAATATGCAAAAGTACATTTAAACGAAAGGATGGGCTCAAAAGGCATATTAATACAAAGATGCATAAAGATGCCACGCTGTGCAAATAAATGTCAAAAATTTGATTCAGGACTCTTCACCGAATAATAGGTACTTGAATTTGATCTATGATGTTCATGAATATTTTGCTCATTAAAATAATTGATATCGGCTTTTGGAGAAATATTTTAAAACGACAAGTTGCTAAGAATTATGTTAAAAGGTGGAATGACATTTTTTTCAGATACTTTCAAGTGATCCGAATTCGCAACAAGGACCAATATTGACATTAGTTCCCACAATTCTTCAGATAAAAATTGTCGCATATATGTCAAAACAAGGATAGGATCAGGCTTCGATGTGTTTGTGTAGAAGATTACGCGCTGGGGCCAATGTAAAATGCTGATGTACATGAATGAGAAAGTGTACTGCACGGGCTTACGATCTCGGGGTTATATCAAATCAAAAATGTAAATAAATTAGAAGACATACCGATTGTTGTTCATAGATAACAGTTCGACTATGCAATAATTAATTATGTGACAGCAACTGGAGTAAACCTCATTTATGCATTGAACTTAATATAAGAAAAGCAACGAGTACAAGATAGCAAATCATTTCAATATAAAATAATAATTTATTATAAAATCAAACATGAATTTTACAACATTCGGAAAATTCACTAATTTAATAATGAATCTGGAATTTTTGTATTCGTCTTCAATGACTTAATCGCTAATTGGAAGAGGGCAGGAGTTCGAGTACTAACGTTACTCTTTAATACAGTATACAAAGTACTCTGTTGTACTTTTTTTTCATGACTATGCGAATGTGCATATGTAATTAATCTAAAAACATACATAAATTCTATAGTTTGACAAAGTCATCGGAAAATGACTCAACGATCCTTTATGTATAACGATATTTTTGCTACAAGCCCAAATAAACGATTCCTTCGAGTTTTTTTTATAAAAAAATATTTGGAGTTTGCTTGATCTTTTTCTTTCGTTATAAAAATTACAGTTTTGGAATACTTTTCGATGATGCATTTTGATGCGTTTAAATAATTCTCGACACATAAGACTAATCGTAGAAATTAATAATCTATGCTATGTCAAAACGATTATTTTGACATTTAGTTTATCGATATGGGCGTATTCTTGGCAAATTAATTTACTCGAATAATGGATAATAACTTAATACAGTTAATATTGTACCAAAAACCATTAGTACCCCCGTAATAAAGATTTTAAAAATAATTATTTGATATTTTTTCGATTGCTCGGAGAGCAACCGTTTGTGATTGCACGCTATCGTTCTTTTCTTCACGATTACATCCTTATTTATATATTATTAATTGTAATAACCATATGTAGGCTTGGAAGACACATTGTTCCAAAGGTTTGATCTTAAACTATACAATTATTTCGCTAAGATAAAAAAAAAATTTTTTTTACTCCGTATTTATTACCGTGACTAGGCATGTTTCATATTTTTTTTTTCCTCGTATGAATGCAATATAAACTTTTTGAAGATAATTAGCACGATTCAAACCTCCGGCAAGAGCGAGTGGAAGACAACATCGGTCAACTTATTTTCTTATATTACATATAAGAAATAAATATGTGGTTTTTCTTAATGCCCGCATATTACTTTGAATAAAGTTTCATTTTCCCTTCTAATCTAATACATAATTGCATACGTATAAATATTCTCGCTACACGATGTTACACATTAAAAAAAAAAAAATAATAATATATATTTAATACATAAATATTTCAGTCGTTCGTACGCTCAACAACAACCCTACTACATATAATAATAATAATAATTTTCAGGCCAGCTCCTGATAGAGCCGATCCGAGGCCGCCGACGAGTAGAGCAGCTGCAGACTGTCCGTGACGCCGTGGGCGGCCAGCTCGCCGAGGGTACGCTCGAGGTACTTGGCGTCCGGGTAGCCGTGGCCGCTCTGCGCAGGCCCGAGCTCGGTCTTGTGATGTATGCCGTTCCAGGTGACGACGTCCTCGCGGCCAGTGGTGACCGAGCGGCCCACCGTGAACACCAGTCTGCGCTCGAAGGCTACCTGTAGCAGGCGTAGTACCCTGCGGCCGAGCTCGCTGTCGGGCAGGTAGCAGGTTCGCGGAAATCCGACCGCGTAGTACGTCTGTCCCGGGTGCGGGTGCTCGGCTCCCTGTATTCCTGATGGTATGCTGCAAATAAAAACAATTTTTTTTTCGGTTAGTCGTGATCGTGTCGACCGCAGCTCGCCCACAAACACACACACAGACACACAACTACTGTTGCTGCTGTTTTTTATCTTTTGTTTTCGGCGATCATTGTGCTTACTCGTAAGTAATTTGAATGGTCTTACAGTTGGGGTACCCGGGCAGGCTTCGATTCAACGTCGTCCAGTTCATGAGTCCGTGAGGCTGATTGCCCCGCTTCTCGCCGTAGATCATCCGACAGACCGGGCACTGTATGTACATGCAGGGCGGACGCTGCGAGCTCAGCATGGCGTTGAGGCAGGCCAGATGCAGCCTGTGACGGCAGCGCGTCAGCTCGACCGTAAGCGGCTCGGCTTGGCCCAGACAGATCGGGCAGGAGTCGCCGCCGTCGCTCTCCACGACCTTGACGTAGTGCGATATGACGTCCGAGGCGGCGTCCACGCCGACGACGGCGTTGTTGCAGGAGGACTCTTGCTGCGCGATCGCGATGTCGCAGGGAGGCTCGTCCGATAGCCGTTGTTGGTGAGAGGGACGCACGAAGACGCTGTCCTCGCTGCCGCCGCCGTTGACGCTGCCCAGCGACGTGTCGAGCAGATTGAGGCCGGATTGGGCGGCCTCGTGGCTCAGATAGGTCGAGACCGTGTCGACGCTGGGCCTGCGGCCGCTCTTGGTGCTGCTCGAGTCGACGTCGAGCATCGACGACGACGACGACGACTGTAACTGATGCTGGTGGTGATGGTGGTGATGGTGGTCCCAGCTGCCCGACGACGCACCACGACGCAACGTTTGCTGGTTCGACGCGTTGTTGTTGTGCTGACGCTGCTGCTGCAGTACCGGCCTCTTCTCGTGCGACGCGCCGTGGCTGCTCTGTTGCAGTTGCTGCTGCTGTTGTCTCTGCGATTGACGTTCCTGATGCTGCAGCTGCTGCTCGGGCTCGACGTTCTGCTTGTTGTGATGGCCGAATATGTTGAAGTTGCTCAGTATCACCCGGGCCAAGTTGGACGAGCCGTGTTCTCCGTTTTTGTTCTGCGAGAGAAATACGATAAAATAAAATACGAAACAATCGATCGAAAAATCACAAAATTACACTGAAAAAAATCTTAGAGGCAAGTTTAACAAAAATTGACTGCTGGATCAGAAGAAGATATTTTGCTGCCACAGCAAAATTATTGGGCATATTTCAATGCTAAATTTTTTGCTGTAGCTACCCCGACTAAAAGAAAATTCGTTCGAGAAAAAGTAAAAGTAGTAACTAAAACCATCATATTAAATTGTAAAATTTAATAAAATGTAAAAAAATGTAATATTACTAGCTATTTCGGACAGCCAATGCATTAAAAAAGGCAGCATAAAATCACATTTTTTGACACTCTTTTACATTTTTTTAAATATGTTAGTTGTAAGTGTAGAAAAACGCATCACATGTCTGAAATCATTAGTCATCTTACATTTTTTTACACTTTTTTACTTTTTATTACAGTTTACAACATTACAATGCACTTTATTTTCAAAAAATTTCCGCTGGGATAGACTTGAGACTAGATTCAATGCTTTTCGTCTGTGTACACCGACCTTTTTGCCGTTTTTCTTTGGATTGCCGCTCGACGACTGCTTCTTGTTGCTGCTCGACGTCTTCGTGCTCGAGCTCGACGAGGAAGTTTTGCTCATGGTGTTATTGTTGTTGCTGTTGTTGTTGTTATTATTGTTGCAGACGATGGCGGGCCACCTCGACACGATGCTGTGCAGCTCGTCCCAGCTGACCTTGACCAGGGGATAGGGCGCCTGCAGGACGCGCCTGATGGGCCTGACGTAGCCCGTGCAGCAGCGCACCTGCGTCAGCGTGCAGAAATTGATGATGTACGGGAAGCCGAGATACGTCTTCGACACGTCGATCTCTTGCTCGCCCTGCAAAAAAAAAAAAAAAAAAAAAAAAAATAATAGATAAAGAACGAATGAAGATTACACGGAGTGCGAGAACGAAGATGAAAGAGGATGTTTACCCTGGCCCAGGACTCCTCGATGAGGCACTGCACCTCCATGTCGTAGGTGTGCCAGTCGTCGGTGTCGCCGGCCCACTCCCACTTGGCGCCGCGGCCCGCCGGCGAGATCGGCGGATAGAACATGCGCCTGACCACGTGGGTCTCGTCGCCGTCCTCCGTGCACTGCGTGCTCGTCTTCAGATTGATGTAGTACCTGTCGCAATATTGACTGTCTTTCTCATTCGTCGTGTACTCATTTCAACTTGTTTTTTTTTTCTTATTTTATCTCGTAGGGTACTTGGACCAGTGAATGACCACTTTTGGGATATGCAATAATTATACTTTTTCAACGAAAGAATTGAATAACGTCCGTACAAATATATTTTTAATTGTTTTTCGAAGCATACTTTCATCGATTGGTCCAACTACCCTACTTAAATTTTGGTCAATGAGTAAAATACGTGAAAAATTCCGCGCGAAATTCTCGCGCGCACCCCAACTCGATTCTCACGCTCTTTTGCGGGGAAGTCCCACCGATGCCTCTAGCGCGCGCTCACGCTTCCGAATCGCGCAGCAATGCGTGCACATAGTGCGTATTAGTTGCATCTTAAATTTCACCTCCCGGTCATACATATGCTGTACTCTACCGAGGTGTAAGAAAAAAAATATCGCACGCTCGTCGTTGGAGGTATCGAGTGGCCGGTATATATAACGTATAACGTGTATTATAAACGGGACGGAATTTCAAATTTTTGAAATACTCGAAGGTGCGCGCTCGCAATACGAGGAAACGAAAACTAAAGCAAAAAAAAAGTAAGTTAATAACGGTCGCGCAAAACGCGTCGCAACTGATTCTCGCGTCACTATGTACGTATACCGAGTGCACCGCGATGAAAGTAGATCGCGCGTTGCGCTTAGCGCGCGCGCATTAAAAATGATTATTAAAACGGGATCTCCGCAGCATTATACGAGCTTGCATACAACGATGTTGTCAGTCGTCTTCGGAGCGAGCAGCAGATTAGGCGAGACGCGAGAAACAAAAGGTCACGGACCTTTTTTCCGTGAAATATATTACTAATTTTGCGGTGTATATACAGAAGAGTCATTTACATCTCCCTCGCTCGAGCAATCGCCTCGCTTACATACGGAACGTTACGAGGCATCTCCTCCGAAAGTCTCTTTCGCTATATATAATGCTCACATATAATTCCTCTTACACATTATACACGCTGCACGCGAGGATACTACAATCCTTGGCCGGCTCTCGCTGTACGTATATACTAGTGAATTCTCACGACGCGAGAGAAAGAGAAAGAGAGAGATGAAAGTAATTCTCACACACGCAGGTACACACATATATACAGGTAGGTAGGTAGAGAGAGACGCTGTATCCACCTGTTGAGAATCTCTCTCTTTCTCTTTTACTCGTCATCGGCGACGCGCACACGCACATATATTTCGCTTCGTTGGCCTGTGTGTGTGTGTCTGTATACGATACATATGTATACATATACAATATTATATTGTATACACTTGCCAGAGGGGCACACACACACACACCGATGTATCGACTCTTATGAATTATATACAGATACACGAGTGTGCGCCATCCTCTCCGATATACGTATTATACGAAATTTTTATAAAAACCCACGATACAATTAGCGCAATCTCCATCACAGGAAGGAATATGTACAAAAAAAAAATAAAATTCCGAGACCTTCGAGCGAGGAGGAAGAGATAAGACAGTGGAAATATTTAGCATACGCGACGATGTATATACGAAGTATCGTGCGAATGTACGTAAATGGTATATTGGTATATGCCGAGCTAAAACTACCTGTCGAGGCTGGGATCGGCGTCGTTGAGAAAGACCCTGGTGAGCTTCTTGCAGTAGGCGCGCTCGAGGTGCTGCGACACGGCCGGACTGTAGGGCCGCCATCGGCCCTGCCTGTTCTCCCATTCCCAGACGACGACCGCGTGTGCCGACGACGACGCAGCCGTTGACGACGACGATCGGCCGTCCTGGTACATAATATCGCTTCGCTTTATGTCACTGTAACTATCACTGCACACAGTTGAACACGGTTGTAACTACAAGACGGATACGCTGAACTCGCGACGATCGCCAGCTGCACTCGTCGTTGCATCGGTACGATATTCAAAATAATGCAACGACATGCTCGGAGATATACACGTATGTATGGGAGTAGAGCGAGCGAGAGAGAGCTGTGTACGAGAGATGCTGTGCCTGCCTCAGGATGGAGTTTTCAACGCGAGAGCAGCGCGCGATACATACACACAACTGTACACACACAGATAGACACTATGCGCAGCGCAGCACGGCACACAAGTCCCCGCGGATCCGTGGGAACGTTCTATACTCTCCCACGCGGAGCTGTGGCACGAGAAACAGAGTGAGAGAGAGAGAGAGAGAGAGAGAGCTCGGCGCGCACTGGCCCTCGGGGGGACCTCAATTAAATTCTCTCTCTTCTCCGTCTCGCTCTCGCTTAGCTTGTATGTATATATATGCAGACGTACATATATATACAGAGCCACCGACCAGTCTCTCTCTCTACTCTCCTGAGTCGGTATAACAGTGGTACGTATACGTACAGCCAGGATAAATCTGTATATACGTTGGAGAGAGAGAGAAAAGAGCCGCTATCGCTGGAGCACACACTGGGCTCGATCCCCACTACGCGCGCCAACCCCTTCTTTTTATTTATTTCCTTTTTTTTTCTTTCTTTCTTCTTCTTCTTTTTAGTTGTACTATGTGGAGAGAGAGAGAGAGAGAGACTGTGCGGCCTCTCTCTTTCTCAATTCTGCACTGCCTGCCTGGTCGTGTATCTATATAGCACTGTATCATAAGCTCTAACGTGGATGCTGTAGCTGCTCGCGGTTGCGCGGACGGCCACGCAGACGACAGCTTATATGTCGTTGTTGTTGACGATGCAGCCGCTGGTCGAGTGCGTTTGACATATTTCAAAACATTCGAAATGTCAATGGGATAACACAGATGCAGAGAGAGAGAGAGAGAGAGAGCAGATTGACGTATTATCGCTTGCAGTTCAACTTTTTGTATACAATTAATACACAAACCTATTATTTCGGTTGCTCCAAAATTTTAGAACTGCACATCGATCGACCGCGATAGCTAAATGTTAATTAACTAACGTGAATAAATGTTGTTTTTGTTTTTAAGCCGTCACCTTTTACAATTTTACGCCGATAAACTGCAGCTGCATGACCAACTATATAAGGCAACGCTGCACTTGCGACTCGAGCCGCTGCTCGCTACTAAATGCTATGGCCATTGCACACATATACCGATCCGCACACGTGTGCTGCTTTATAATGTGCAACATACGTACACTGTATATAGAACGTTCATAAGAGCCCATGTCGCTGCAGTACATTACATGCACAACGTATGCGTGTGTGTATATGGGCGATCCACCACCGCTGCCGCCGCCGCCGCCGCTACTGCGGCAATTCGATCGGAGCGTATATTATACTGCGGGCGGGAGAAAGAAAGAGACACGTTATATCATGTGTGTATGTGTTTTTTTTGTATATAACACCGTATACACGACGCGGGCCCATCATCGTCATCATCGTCGTCATGATCGCGAGGCCATATATAGGGTGCGCAACTGCACCGTCGTCGCTCATAAACACACATATATATACGAGCAGTGACAGTAGTTATGTATAGTGGAGCATGTGCACCGACACTGCCTCGCCCTATATATCGTGCGGTTCGAGAGATCCGACTGAGACGCGGGGACATCGACGTATGTATGTATATTATATTTTTGTGTATGTTTGTCGCGAGCACATATGCGACGCGTGCACGTGCGCTGCTACTCCTACTGCGGATTTACCATATATATCTCTTGACGAAAAAAAAAAAGTACACGGACAAGTGTCACGTATGTAATATCGAGGGAAGGGGACTCCGATAGTATATATATAAGCCTATACAAAACGCCTCGTAAAACACACTCGGCGCGCAGCAGATGCGCGACGTTTATAATGTGTATACGAGTGCACGTGACTCGATCCGATGATTGCTCTTTAATTTTACGGACGTTCTATCGATTGGCTTATTTATTGGCGAATAATCGATAGGCGCCTCGCAAGACCGTTCGACGAATCATTTTTATTCTAATTTTTTGCAATTCGACAAGCTTCTCTTGCTCGATTCTTGACACTATATATCCAAACGAGCGATAAAGACCGATCGCTAACCTACCACGCAGCGACCCTTCGTATCATCGTGACGACGCTCGCGGAGTTTACGAGATACAATTTTCATATCGACTGCCAATTTTCGACGAGCTGCGAGGCGATCGTATTTTTCACGATTTTGTTGAAGAAGGCGATAAGCGGGCGATAAATTTACGGAAAAAAAACTCGCTCGCATCGGTAATGTCTCGTTTACGTTCAAAATCGGGATCTATCTTGTTTAGCCCCGACGTCGCTCGTACCTCTATGGGTCCAGTTTCACCCTCTCAATGTAAGCGTAACGTTTGACGATTGTAAGCATTGAAATAACAGGAAACTTAGGCTCCAGTTTCTGTACGAATGCCGCAAAGAGTATCTGCGAGTGGATCCCGTATATTCGTTCGATTTCATTTTTCGGCTCGATATATTATAGCAGTTAACCACTTAGTCGTTTGTCCTATTGGAGCTAGAGATTCATTTCAGCATTGTTAGGTACGTCAATGTCTCAAGTAAATTTATATACAGTTACTTTGACTTTGCCACTTGCAGATTTACTGAAATAAAGAGACTCGCCATCCAGCGGTAGAGGCTCAAACTGGAATCATTATATCGTATTCAAAGTGGTTAAAAAATAGTCTAAATTTTTTAAACAATTAACTTGTCATTTTCTGGTCATTTGTGCTCAAGAATTATAACATCATTGTAATGTAAAAATCGCCTGAAATTAGCGAAATAATATATAGTATTGTTTTATTATGCTGCCACAATGGTACGTAAAAGGCACTTCTGGACTTTAGTGCGGGCTAAATACCACGTATTCATATGTTATATCGTAATTTTTATGTCAGTATTTTTTGCTTATCATTGCTTAAAATTTTGTACATTCAACATGGGCCTATTTTTTTGAGCGCAGTGTGCGCAAAATAAACCACTCGTAGACCACCCAAACTGGAACAATTATCATATTTTATACCTACAAATACATACTATTACGTGTCGTGTAAATAAGAATTTTTCGATGCTTAATATTCGCGGACAAGTGCACGACCCAAGCAATCGCATAGGACCAACCTCACGAAGCGACAAAAATACTATTGATTAGTTGCCCGACAATTGGCTCTCATTCTCTCCTGTAATCCAACCTACGCTTCACGGCTCATCGAACTCACAAGTGTAGACCCCTACAAACGAATTATAGGACCGTTTCTCTCCTCTTTACTTTCGTAATGACGTAAATTCGAAACATCAAAGCCGGCGCACAGCAGTACACATATTGTAAAGCCGAGTCAACAAATCCTTCCAAAAAAATAATATTTATCTAATAATACAAGTGCTCTGTACCGAGAATGAAAATTTTTTCAATGACTGCGCGCTATTTTCAGACACGACCGATCCGCGTCGTCGTCGTCGTCGTCTAAGCGACGAAGCACAAAAATCATTACGTAAATTATATGTACATCTGTGCCGGCGAGAACGAGTACAAAAAAAAGTGTAACTTCGAGCGCAAGATTGCACGATATTTTTGCATCGCGCTTTGAAAAATAAAAAAAAACAATCCTCGGATCGACGCCGCTGCATTTTATAATTATTTTGAACAAACTCGGCAGGCTTCCAAGTAAATCTGCATACATCAATGCCGAGAGAAAGACGCGACAAGAAGAAGAAGAAGCAGAAAAAGTCGTAAGGTCAAAAATGTAAAACGATCTTGGCCGATGCCTGGCGAGCGCGCGAATATATGTTTATTGATGGAGAGATTATTTTTTACCCTTTTTATTTTATAAAGTATAGATCGAGCGCGAATCGACTCCGCGTAGTCTTTCTCCGAACATCGCGAGTTCGACGCGCAACGAATGACAAAAATGAGAAGCAGCCAAACGAACGAACGAAACGAATATAATTCATCGAATTGACAATTAAGTAATCCTCGCGCGCGCGCGGTACATATATGCCAAGATTAAGAATCGTCGACGATCATCGTGACTCTTCGAGTGCGACTGATTACATACACATGTAAACACACAAACGTACAAACGCTTCTCTCTCTCTCTCTCTCTCTCTCTGCTCCGCGTGTGTTCGTATTATATATCTAGACGCTCGGAGCGAGTTTTATATATTCCTCGCTTTCGTGCATTATCTCCCGTTGCAGCAGCAGTACGGCAAAACAGCAACAGCAAAACATCGCGTAAACGATGCACCGAGAGAGCAAAAGAGAGGGACGTATATATATAAAATATACTCGCGCGAGGCGCAAAACGTTGACTGCGCTCGGCGACTCGTGCGGCAGTATATAGTTGAACTTTTGCCGGCGCACGAGCGCGAACACGCGCGCGATCGCGCGATTTTTTTATCACAATTGTTATAATTTGCAATGTGAACGATAATATTCACGGATTCTACGAATTAGTGTCGGCTGAAAATTTTAAGTTGAAAGAAATTAAACAATCCGTGTGTCTGTGGCTGTGATTAGCTCTTATAAATACGTATATATAATCCAAATATCGCTCGAAAAGTCATTTCATCGTTCGAACTTCTAGTCAGTCGCGCGTAACGAAATCTATAGTTAGACAATCAAAAGAAAAAAAGAAAAAAAAAAAAGAAAGTCGACATGGCGAAGAAGCTCGAGAGCAGCATACCGGGCATGCGCTACCCGAGCGGACGCGATCACTTTCTGAAGACGGCCTGGGGCTTTCTGGAGGGCAGGCGCAAGGACGACGGCGCCGAGGGACTGTGGCGCGTCCACGACGGCCTCTACGATCTCGAGTCGTTCGCGGCGAGCCATCCGGGCGGCGCCGAGTGGATAGCCATGACCAAGGGCACGGACATCACCGAGGCCTTCGAGGTATTTTTTTATTTTCACAATAAAATTTATCCTCCTCTCAACGATTATATCTCTCTACCGTCACAGTGTCACCACATTACCGATCGAGCCGAGCGTCTGCTGCCCAAGTTCTACGTACGGCCGGCGACGAGCCAACGATCGCTGCCCTACACCTTCGCGCCGGACGGCTTCTATCGCCGATTCAAGGGCAGGGTGCGCGAGGCGCTGAAGAACGTCGACTATCATCGACCGGCCACCTCGTCGAAACTGATCGCCGACTCGCTGGCGGCGATGGCCCTCGCTACGGCAGTGGCCGCGGCCGCCTACAAGTCCTGGAGCGTGCTGGTTCTCAGCTGTAATTTTATCTTCATTATTTATTTTATATATTTTTCGAGCCTCGTACATTAATGTGATTGCTTTTGTTTTTCTCGCGGCGCAGCCATATTCCTCACGTGGACCGTGATAATAGCGCACAACTTCTTCCACCAGCGCGACAACTTTCGCATGTACTACTTCGACCTGAGCCTCATGTCCTCGAAGGAGTGGCGAGTCTCGCACTCGCTCAGCCATCATCTCTATCCCAACACCCTCTGGGACATGGAGATCTACGCGTTCGAGCCCTTCCTCGAGTTTCTCCCTCGTCCCGACAAATCCTGGCCCCGTCGTGCCCTCAGCCTCCTCATCTCGCCTACGGTCATGACCGTGGCCTACTTCGGTCAGGCCGTCAAGAGGTACTACTCGATCCTGTGGGAGTGGCGTAGTCCGGAGTTGCGCGACCTCGTGCCGTTCCTGTTGCCCGCGGCCATGAGCTACGTCGCCTCGAGCCCGGCCCAGGGACTTCAGCTGTGGCTGGCGCTGATCGCCGCGAGCAGCTTCATCTTTCACTTCGTCGGCTTGACGGCGGCTCATCATCATCCGGAAATCTTCCACGACGGCGACGTGTGCAGGTATGATCATGTAATTTACGACGACGATTAAAAATTATCGCACATAGTATGCCTTTTTTTGCGCGCGCGACGCTGATGCATTATGCATAAACGCGATAAAAAACGAACTGGTTATAATCTCGTTTTTTTTTTTCTACTTCGCCGCTGCGCTGCGCAGAAAAGACCTCGACTGGGGCCTGATGGAGCTGGACGCGGTGCGAGGCCGCCGCCTGGTCGACGAGTCGCTCTTCCTCATACTGACGAATTTCGGCTCGCACGGCCTGCACCACCTGCTGCCCACCGTGGATCACGCCTACCTCGAGCTCTGCGTGCCCGCGTTCAGGGAGACGTGCCGCGAGTTCGGCGTCAAGCTCAACGCGAGCATGACGAGTTGGCAGCTCATCCGGGGACAGTACGAGCAGCTGGCCAGGGCCGAGCCGAGGGCCGAAAATTTCCACAAGACTGCTGCGGCTTGATGCTAGTTGCTCTCTTGTGATGCTCGGGGCGTAATTGTGTCGTTGCCCTGGTAGAGATGCGAAATCTTCTTTTTTTTTGTTTTCGTGGGCGAAGTCGATCGTAAACAGGGCCATTAGAACTGGATATGATTTACTGATGAGAGATGTAACGTTTGTTTTTATAAATTTTTCATATCAAGAAGAAAAACAATATAAGCTTCGCTAGAGAATTGAAACTGTGCCTTGAATTATGTACAACTGTTTTGTCTTCGCCACTTGCAGATTTCCAGAAACAAAGGTGCTCGCCATCTACCGGTGAAGACTTGAACTGATATCATTGTATATCAAAGCGTTGAAAGCTGATCTACATTTCTGGAATCGGTTACATTATTATTATTAAAATATTCAAAATGCGCATAATTGTTCTAATGTAATTTTAACAGAAAAGTTGAACTTTAAAACATTTAAAATGGTCATTATTACGGTCATTGGTCTATTACATTAACGTTAAGCATTTCTACTTGGGTCGCCCCACGTTGTTATTGTTGTTGTAATTGTTGTTTTTTTATTTCTTTTGTACATATGTTTATCATACAGTTATTGTGAAATAAATTTTGTTTGATGTGTCAAAAAACTATCAAAAATAGTTCTAAAGAAAACATGAATACATTCGTTGTTATTGTTGCACGCGATCGAGTTTATTTTTATTCGCTCCGATTCGAGGCATCGAATGCAAATGTAATCCTACGTTTCTGAGCTAGTAAATTTTTTGTTAACGTTCGATCTATCATCTAATGAGCCACACACCCGCACACAAGAAAATGATAATTTACCAGAGTTTTGTGACTCGAAGATAATAAAAAAAAAAACAAAAAAAACAGCGCACACATATTCAAACGTTGCGGATTATACATCACGCTTCGCGCGACGAAAACTTATAATTATTAAGAAAACACTGTTTCCGACCGACAAGGCGCGAGACGCTAATTTCGAGAAAATCATCGGAATGATATTTCAGTTTATAAAAACGATTTTGATCGAGCATTTCTCCAAAATGAACTTTGGTGGAAAAAGCGACGTCGGTCAGATTCGTACCAAGATTAAACGGACTCTCAATGGCATTCGACAATAGAAGTCACTATACGGCCCATAGAAGGGGTATGTGTAAAGCCCGTCTTGTCCTTGGCGTCGACCCGCGTTTGTCGATCGATTCGTTCATTCATCTTGAAGAAGAATTCCGCTATGCCGTCGCTTTTGACGATATATTTGGGTCTTCACCGTGTCTCAGTAGATGTTTAGTTATCGAAAAATCTTCACAGCAGTTTACAAGAATAGTCGCAAAACGTAAACACTAAATAGGGTAAGATAGTATTGACCGAAGCAAGTGATTTTCGTGAATCCTGTAAATTTCTCGTTACGCTTTTAAATATTTTAGGAGCTATATGGCCGTATGAACAATGCGACTGAGTAATTAAAAACTGTGGTGATGCTTTTTCCAAAATATAAATAGGAGCAAGTATGACAGTCTGATTCTTATAATTTGAGCCTAACTCTGTAATTTTTTCTTTTTCAAATTGTTGAAATCAATCCACCGTTGACACACTGAATTTTTTCGAGTTCCGTGTCAGGGCAATGAATTTATCTGGCGTAATCGATGATTGAGCGAACAAAGCACTTATATACATTATCAACAATGTGTCAGGCTGTCTGCCCCACCACGTGCCTCTGAGAAAGCGAAAAACGTTCATAGCGTTTGAGCATTTCAAATAGAGATAATTCGTGTGCGCTTTGAAGGAAAGTTCGTAGTCGAGAACAAGGCCCAAGAATTTGACTTCCGCGCTCGACCGGACCAACGCATCGCCGATTCTCATTGCCCTGAGCTGCCCAGGAATAATCTTTTTTTTTCGTTGAATACCATGAAATGCGATTTCTTCGAAATTCTTTCGAAAAATTCACCCACATATTGTATAAAATGACTATTTCAAGAAATTAAATAAATAACTGAACTCAACGATATTTCTTCATGATTCGCTATGTTAAGGTGCACAAATGCCCACCACAATCCGTTCGACAAACTATCATTCTATTTTAGGCTCGTCCAAACGAACGATCATCAATAAAGACCAAACGTTGGAGCTTGCTGCATTACTGAATACAAAACTTTCGCAATCGTAACACAATATCGAATTATTCTTCCGTCTTTAGCATACTAATACCGATCACGTCATGTGTGTCATAAAACAACTCTTTAAGTAAAAATAATCTTTTCAAAATTTTTTTGATTATTTACATAAAGGAAGTGATCGAGCATATTTCAAAATTGAAAAAATTTAAAATAAAAGAGAAGTTCCAGAAATTCACGATGAACTAACACAGTATATATATTCTATACATATTCTTCGTTATAATGTTGGTTATGTTGTTATTACTATACTTATATCGTTTCCACACCACCTAGTGAACAGTTTTAGTTCTTGCACATTTTACATTATTGTTATTTTTCTTTATAGAACATTATTACAAATTTTTTCAAGGTTAACGAAGTTCAAGAGGTAGATATATCGGCGCGTTTTTTTCAGTGGTTTCCCCATAAATCATTTTAATAACAGTATTTTTCTGAAATATATTTACTAAAATTTATAACCATTTAAAATAGCAGTATAGTATAGTTCTGTAATGTTCCCCAGTTGAAAATAATTGCGTGGATATCCACGTGGATTATCCAGGATGATTCCACGTGGATCATACAGGGATTCCTTGAGGATGGGACATTGATTCCACGTGGATCGAACATGAATCATATAAAGAGTCCACGTACGTAAACCACGGGGATTTGCACGGAAATCCTCGTTGATTTTCGATCGATCCACGGGGATTTTCGCGCAAATCCTCGTTGATTTTCGATCGATCCACGAGGATTGAAAAAAATCAGCGTGGATCAGTCGAAAATCCGTGGTGATTCGCCGCAAATCCTCACGGATGTTTCGAGCGCGTGTTCACGAACAAGTTCCACATCCACGAGGATTGAAAAAAAATCAGCATGGATCAGTCGAAAATCCGTGGTGATTCGCCGCAAATCCTCGCGGATGTTTCGAGCGCATGCTCGAGAACAAGTTCCACATCCACGAGGATTGAAAAAAAATCAGCGTGGATCAGTCGAATATCCGTGGTGATTGCATTTTTTTCAGCCCATGATCGATCCACGAGGAATCCCTGTATGATCCACGTGGAATCCCTGTACGATCCACGTGGAATCCCTGTATGGTCCACGAGGATTACTAATCCTCGTGGATTTCCACGTGGATATCCATGCAATTTTTTTCAACTGGGTCAGTAATCGTATATGATTATAAGTTGTTGTATTAAGGGGGGAAAGGTACCTAAAATCTCAAAAAAAAATTTTTTTTCATTGACTTTTTTAATAGGATTTCTCCTCAACTTTCCAGTGCCGTGATCGGAATTTAAAAATTTTAACTGTACCGTGATGTACAGCCTATTTAGTACCGATACTTTTACGATTATTTAAAGATATATCGCTGCCATTCTCTCATGAATCTCGAGACTTTCATAAGTCGGTAGCGCCGTCTATTGATACTCATTTTATTCTTTGGTTAGAGTACATCTAGCAGAAATTTGTTTGTTTACATGGCTATAGGTATACAGTAACGCCACCACTCGCAACACGTGGGTTTCGGCATATCTTCTGTCTCTCTCTGTTTCGTGCGCGAGCCCTGATCAAATGTAAATAACAGCCTGCTGACTGCTTCTTGATTTTCCAATGGCTAAAAATTACATTTTTTTGAAAGTGAAAAAAGTACATGTACAGTGAAGTTATATCTTTGCAACTTGACATAGTGATTTATATTAAAGCTATGAAGATGTTTCAATAGCTTTTTATGAAAATGTGACATTTTTAGCAGTTTAAATTCAAGAAATACAGCAGTACATATTTACATTGACATATATACATCAGTGCATATGTATATCACTGTACTTTTGTATGTGTATGTAACGGTATCAGGTATATTATTGTATGTTGCATGTGATAACCAAGATTAGTGATAAGTGATCAATTTTGAGTGATTTTATTTCCAACTATAGATTCAATGATTGATGTTTTATGAATGTGAGTGAATAGGTAGAGGGCTGAGTTCAAGTTCTAATGTGAGATTGTGTATATAGTGTGAAAAGTTGATTTGGACATAATCAACTTAGTTACCAGTTTCCACATAAAAGCCATATAAGCGTATGCTAACATTTTAGTACAACTTATAAAATGTAGTGATGAAAATGTCGCATTTGGTGTTGTGTGTCTGTCTGGGATTATTGAAAATTGTCCTTGTGGGTCTAATATATTGAAAATTCAAGTTGAATAACTGCTTTTTATTGGCCAAAAAGTTTAAAGCAGCCTCAGTGACATGGAGAGTATCATTATGACATATATTGGTGTAGTTTTGTTTTTTTTAACTCTTGGGCAGTTACGTTTCATCTCAAAATCGCTTTGTTGTCATAACTTTTCATGTGAACCGTTTGAGCAAATCAGTTGAAATTTTCAAGGATTATTCTACATAAGAATGGCTACAAACGCAAGCACTTTCAAAGGTATTGGGACAAATGAGCACTTTTTTCAGGCTATATTGTAGCATAATCTGTCATTTTATCATATATATTAATGAAAAAATTTGTATATGTGGCTGGTAAATTGTGTATAACTAATTAAAAAATCTGAAAGTGCTTGCGTTTGTAATCACACATCTAATGATCAAAATGAGACCCCAAAGACCATGATTGAACCATCAGTTCTAGCTGGAACCTACGACACTGGGGTCTGTCAGGACTGTGGGCTTGCTTCATTGAGGAGGGTTCTATGGTGACTGGGACCTCAATTTTCATTTTCCAGAGTTAAAAAGTTTGGAAAAAGAGTGAAAAAAACAGAGTTTTCTCTGTATATTAAAAAAAAAAAATTTTTTCTTTATTTTTAATAAATTTTTTATAAATGTAGGTTTAAGGTACCTTTCCCCCTTAAACATCATATAACATGATGAATATCTTTATAAAAAAAAATTGACAGACCTATTCTACTTATAACAACCAATAACCTATAACAGACCAATATGGTATGTGTCGTTGACAGCAAATTTTAACTGTAATATAAATTTCTTTGTACAATTGTTAATAATGAACTGAAAGTTGTAATGTAACTACACTCGGCAACACAATTATTACAACGAAAATTTCATCGAAATACTGTCGAATTTCAAATCCTTCTATCTTAGGTTTATCGACGAACTGCTTCTACCGGCACCACACCTGCAAAATCGATTAATATAACTATCGGTCATTAAAACCGTTACAAGCTAACCCACAACACGTTCTTTGTTTTCCTTCTAAGCAAATCAATAAAGTGACCAGTGATCATGAAAGTGAAAATTAGCTATAAAACAATCATATACTTATTTTTCATTTTATAGAAAATAAGAAAAAAATTAAATAATTTTTTTGAATTAGTGTTAATGATTGTTGACACAACAACGATCCCGAACTATTCCTGCTTGGCTTCTGTTGGATCGAATGACGATCAGGTATAATTTTGAAAAAATTATAAAAAAAGGGCTCGAAGTTGTCAATTTTATGTTGAAAATGTAGATTGGCCTTTAACTGTGATTTATATCACATGAATGACAAACAGGAGTGCATGACTCCCTTTCACAACTATGGTGATAATCGTCTACCTGTATCGTTCGTAATAATATCAACATTTTAGGAAAAGTACATTTCACGAATATAATTTTTATTAGAAAAAAATTTTAAGAGTCGGATTTTTTAGGGAAAAAGATTATGAAAAATGGATCAATATTAAAATCGATATTATTTTTAAAAATTTATTCATTTGAATATAAGTATAGAAAATTAACAACGTCTGATTATAAAAAATATTATAAATGTTTATGCATCTGCCAAGCAAATATGATATAAATCTTCGTTCATCATCTTGCTAAGGATCTGTTCACAGCAGATAATTGGCAGTCGGCAGCGTATGAGATTCATAAAAGGATCCAGTGCCCAACGCCGGAAAAATCCTCTAGCCATCATCTCGCACAGACGCAACTGACAAGCCTCTTTAACTTCTTCGGGAAGTATCCTAAGATGATTAAATCTCGCAAATTTAAAGTAGTCCTCATATGTGAGTAGTTTTTCTTCCTCTTCGAGTGTTAACTTGCTCCACTCGTAGAGCGATAGACTCGGGTCGTTATACCTTATCATAATCTCTTTCGCTTTGCTCACGAACTCCTCGTCCTCGTACCAACATTTATCCAGATTCGACGGCTTCTCGAACAAATTTCGTTCAGCGAAGAATTTCATGATCGTCAGGGCGTCGCTTCGGCTAAACTCGTATCCTCTTTGCTCAAGATTTTCAGCGATGGACAGAAGACTAGACGCCATTATCAATTTAAAATTAGCATAAATACTGCTGAAGACTCGCGTATCCAACTTCTCGGCGAAATCACTCGCGATGGGGAAAACGAAGCTCGACAGATCGGCCCCGTGATCCAAGAGTATATCGACCACGCGAGGAACCAGATTTTCCACGGCCCATCGAAGAGGTGTCCGGCCCAATTTGTCCACGATATCAAGCTGCGCCAGCCGAGGAAACATCACCAACAACTCGTCTCGACTCGAGGCTATCTTGCAAATCATGTGCAGTGGTGTCCTCCCTCCCTCGTCAACCAGATTCGAATCGGCGCCTCTTTCCAGAAGCAATGCAATCAACTGTGGATTACCGGTAAATCGTTCGAGGGGGTAGAAAACCAAGTGCAATGGTGTATTACCTAACTTGTCCACGGCGTCGACTTGAACCTTCAACTGTCGTTCGTCGCAAATATCGAAGAATAGTTTCGCCAAGTCTTCGTCGTCACTGTGGCGGCAAATGTAAAGCAGAGGAGTCGAACCATAATTGGTGACTAAATTTGCATTTGCGCCTCTTCTCAGAAGCTTTTCGACTACCTTTTTGTTGACCCAATCCGCGGCAACGTGCAACGGTGTATAGCCCTCCTTGTCCTGAACATCGACTCGACCCGTTTGCTGTCGTTCGTCCCAAATCTCGAAAAACATCTCCACCAATTCATCGTCTTCATCGTTGACATACTCGCTAATAAGGTGTAGAGGAGTATCTCCGACGTTGTTTGCTAAACATTGATCAGCGCCTCTTCTCAATAGCAATTCGACCAGTTTATTGTTGTTGCGTTCCAAAGCCAAAAGTAGCGGTGTGTTGCCAAACTGGTCCCGGGCATCAAGAGCCGTCGTATGCTGTTGTTCGTCCCAAATCTCGAAGAACATCTCCACCAATTCATCGTCTTCGTCGTCGACATACTCGCTAATGAGGTGTAGAGGAGTGGATCCATCATTGTTGGCTATATTTAGATTCACGCCTCTTTTCACTAGCAATTCGACCTGATGTCTGTTGCGGTTTATTAATGCCTCGTGCAACGGCGTATTACCTTCCTTGTCCCGAGCATCGACCTGCACTGTCTGCCCTAGATCGTCGCAGGTCGTGAAGAATAGCTCGGCTAGGCCTTGACCGTAATCTCTCTTGTGTATGATGTGCAGGGGGGTCCATCCTTTCGCATTGGCTATATTGGGGTTGGCGCCTCTTCTCAATAGCAATTCGACCATCTTCTTGTCACTGCATTCGAGAGCCTCGTGCAATGGTGTATTGCCCAAATTGTTCTGATCATCGATCCGCAACATTTGATTATTTTCGTCGCAGAATTCGAATAACATCTTCGCCAAACCTTTGTCGTCGACTTTCTCGCAAATATAGTGCAGAGGAGTTGAACCCTCGTGATCGATGAAATTCGGATTGGCGCTTCGTTTCAGCAGCAATGCGACGAGCTTCTTATTTCTGTATTTCACAGCCAAGTGCAGCGGCGTCCTACCCGACTTGTCCCTGAAATCGACCGGCACCATATGCCGTAAGTCGTCGCAGATCTTGAAAAAAAACTTGGCCAAGTCAACGTGATCATCATCGGTATGTATGGAAAAATTGTGCAGAGGAGTCTGTCCCGCCTTGTTAGCTAAATTTGATTTGGCTCCTCTCCTCAATAGCAACTCGATTACCTTCGATGTGTCGTCGTAATTAACTGCCGCAGCAAAGTGTAGCGGCGAATCACCTGTATTTTGCACGAGGAGATTGGGATCCTGGCCAAGGTCGAGGAATTTCTTCACCACGTCGTCCAAGCCAAACTCGCAAGCCAGATGAAAATGAGTAATTCCGTGTTCACAGCTGAAATTCACGTCAAATCTGTCATATATTTCGAAAAGGTCACGAATCACGTTCAACCCGGATGCAGCTGCGATGTGCATTGCTGTGACGCGACGAGATATTGGCTTGCCTGCCTCGTCGAGTTTCGGCTCGTCCTTGAAGCCAGTTCGAGCTACAAACTTGATAAATCGTTGCAGTTGAAAAGGATCTTTCGTATTTTTGGTGGCCTCCATGAGAAGCCAGTCAATTTCTTCGGCACGAAAAACTTCTAGAAGATTCGGAAGCTGTACCTTCCAGTCGCTCGTCAAGTGAAAAAGTCGAAAGAGAAGATCACGTCGCTCCTTTACTAAATTCCAATCGACCGCGGCTCGCATCTCTTTTAATTTTTTTAATTGGGACATTGTTCGGCACACTCACACACGCGACACTTGTATTGTAAAATAGTTTTCAATTTTTTTCACGAAAAAACCACAGGCCACAATCGGAGCGATATACCTTTGATGTTCAGTCCGTGGAGTTGTAACGTGTACTGACTATAATTTGTACTCGACACTAGAGAGAAAAAAACACATGGTCGAAGGTGAAATAGGCTATGTACAGCGGCGATTGAAAAATGAAAGTCCAGAGTTTGAGGAGCCTCTCGAATGCGTGTAACGCATGCGTCGTATAGTGAAAGTAACACATTGCCGGGCTTAGGAGTCGTCCAAACTTCTACAATACAGCAGTGCGATCGGAGTGGATATTCGATTGTTATAGCTTCGAAAACATTAAAAATAAATTAAAACAATTTCGTAACTTCTCTTTCAATTTAAAACCGATTGCAATTGATTGGCAAAAAGCTGCACGTAAAAATTTTGTTAATGAAATGGTTTCGTAATGGAATCATCAATGTAGTTTTTTCCATCTATGTAAACTAAATTTTTTACGACATCTGGTCACAAATCTCATTTTCAAGCCTGTCGCATACCCACGTGAAAATAATGTATGAATTTTTCATGAAAACTATATTAACCCGTGTTCAAGCTCTAAACATGAAAAAGTAAAAATATATTTTTTATAATATATTTATTAAAAATGTATAAAAAGATATTGCGAAATGATTTAAGAACAATTTCTTTATTTTTTTGTCGATCACAATAAGTACCCAACTCGATTATTCAAAAAATTAACCCTCAAGTATCAGAAAATATTATAAATTCATACAATAATTATATATTAAATAATGTAAATTCATTACACAAATTTTTGATTTATGATTTTGGTGTCATGGATGTTCACACTTTAAAGTAAAGTATGCGTGCATTTCTAGTTTCCAAGTGACTCGACCATCGAGTAGCGAGGATACGATGACGGTTAGTTATAGCAGCTTCACGGCGGTTTAAGTGACGGTTTTTCCGATGCTGTGTGCGGTTCACTCGTTCGCCGTTTCAGTGTATAACAAATAATAACGACTACGCTACACAGTAAACTCACATCTTATATATTTTCCCTCATCGTCACCAGCCAGATTAAAATCATTTTATTTATTAATATTAAAGTGGCGTCTCACGACGTTACACTAGAACGAATATCTTTTTCTATAACTGTCAAAGCCCATTAAAAGAATCCATCTGTTAATTATTTCATTCGAACTGAACTTTATAATTATGCAGAATTATCATTTGTCGTACTAATTCAATAGTATTCAATTGATCCTTAATTGATCCAAGTTCGTTTCTCAAATTTTTCATCTCAGCAGATGTAGGGTTAAATTCCATCTGCAACTTATCGCTAATTTTGTTAGTTTTGTACGGTGTTTCTAAGGAATCAATTTCTTTGAGTAAATCTTTATTCGCGATAAGATCTGCTTCATCCTTTTTTTTATTTGATGTTTCACTCTAAAAATATTAATAAATAAAGTGAAAAATATTCCTGTTACTTATAGAAAGCCATATAAAAAATAATTCACTTTCAGAGAGAATAGTTGGGTCATTTTTTAACTAAAATCTGACTTTTTCGCCTTTTTAGCTGCTTTTTCCTTTTTTTTTCAAGGCTTCTGCCTCCTCATATTTTTTCTTCAATTCAGTTGTCACACGTCAGCGTTATGCATGCTGCTCGGTTTTGTATAATACGGAGACGTGCTTGGTAAGATTCCGCGAGCCCGAGTAACCGTTGATAGTGATGCGCAAAACTCGCGGAAAAAGCAACTCTACAAGAGAGAGAAAGAGATGGAGATACAAAAACAGTACCTGCTATACCAGCGATAAAGGAAAGGTGACACCGAACAAGAGAAAGTAAATACGCTCATCGGCCTATTAAAACCAAGCCTACGAAAAACGATTAAGGCCTACCACAGTACCGATTATCTTACGCTTTTTACCACCGCCCTGGACGTCGAACGCGACGAGGAAGAGGAGCGAGCAGCGGCCACCCCGAAGCTGTCGACGTCGAGCAGCAGACCGCTGCAGAAGTGTTGGCACTGTAACGGCCGCCACATAAACCGCGACTGTCCGAATCGCCCAGAGAGCCCCAGGAGAGACCAGGAAAACTGAAGGAAGGCGGAAGACGTCACGAAGCCTTCCACCGACCTCAAGTAAACAATTTTAACTTCCGAGGAGGCAGACTACCAACGATCCGAGTCGCCTGCAAACGAGAGGAGGTAAGAGCAGAGGTAACCTCTGGCGCGATACACAATTTCGTAAGTCCAGAGCTTGTACCAGAGCAAGAAAGGCTACCGACCGAGTATACGTACGCCGAATTGGCGATAATCGAGGCACGAGCAGACATCATCGGAAAAGCGAGACTCGAGATCCGCATCAATGGCCAGGAGTTCGAAATAGAAGTGTTTATAACACCACGAAACCGACACCAACTGGTTCTAGGGATTCCTTTCATAGAGCAAAAGGAAGCCATCCTGGACTTCTGCCGCCGAGTACTACACGTCGGACGCGATCGATGCACTACAGCCGCGCTTATAGATCGCCAACCGGATTTCCAGTCTCACACGACGTTGCCGAGCCACGGATTTCCGGAAGAGTACGACGAAGAAATGAAGGAACTACTGACGGAGTTCCGTCACGCGCTAGCCCCTGACGGACCAGGAGAAGGCACAAACAGTGCACAGCACGTAATACGGCTATCTACAGAAAAACCTTTCCGCAAGTCACCCTATCGGTATAGCGAGGAGACACGGAAAGAGATCGAACGCCAGGTCCAAGAGATGCTGGCCAGTGGGATCATCGAGCCGAGTGCTCGCCGTACAACTCGCCTATCGGCGTGGCAAAGAAAACAGGAAGAAAGCTTCGTTTCTGCATCGATTATCGTCTATTAAACGAGATATCCATCGACCAAGCCCAACAAATACCCTTGATCTCCGACTCTCTGAAGGATCTGGGAGACGCGACGATCATTTTCTCGACGTTAGACCTGAAGAGCGGAGACTGGCAGATCCCGATGGAAAAAACTCGAAGCCGGTACACCGTCATTACCACACCAACGGGAGGAACATACCAGCTCCGCTTCATGCCTTTTGGCCTTCAAGGTGTTGCTGGGACGTTCCAGAATCTGATGTCGCAGGAAGTACTAGCGGGATACCTGAACAAGTACTGCCTGGTTTACCTCAAGGACATAGTGGTATAACAGGACAATTACGTGGCTACACCGTTTCAAAAACACGAAGGATAAGCTGACACGATGGGCGCTCTTGTTGCAAAAGTTCAACTTCAAAATAGAGCACTGCCCGGGGAAGAAACAACGAGTTACCCGACTTATTGTCAAGAAACCCGCAGGAGGAAACACCAGCGGACCTGAGCGACGTGGACCGGATCCACATCCCCAAGTACCGACGCCCCGCGTCAGACGAAATAGTTCCCCAGCTGGGCCTGTTCACAGTAAACGAAGACCCAGTGGAGCGGATTCGTGTAGCACAGCGAGACGATGCCGAGCTCCAAGCTGTTTTCGAATCGAGTCAGGTACGTCGCAGGGAGGGCCTTGTCTGGAAGATGAAACCAGGCACCAATGTGTGGCGAATCATCGTGCCGGCCGGCGTACGCGAGGAGTTGTTGCGCGCATACCACAAAGCAGACACAGCAGGACACCCGGGGGCGAACGAAACGCTGCGCCAACTCCAGATAAAGTACACCTGGACGGGCATCATGAAAGACACGCGAGACTACGTGCGAAATTGCACCACGTGCAAAGAAATAAAGAAAAACCGAACTCTGCCATATACTCAATCGGCGCATAAGCCAAGTAAGCCGTGGGACACGGTGGCTCTGGACCTGGTAGGACCATACCCGGCCACGAACGACGGAAGTCGTCGTCTCCTCGTCGTCACCGACATGTTTTCTCGATAGGTGGAAGTTTTTCCGATCGCCGCTACCGATGCAACAACCATTGCTGCTCGCGTCGAGAAGGACGTATTCACGAGGTGGGGATTTCCGAGAGCAGTGCTTACGGACAACGGGATCCAGTTCACCAGCAAGGCCTGGGCCATCGCCTGCAAAACGTGGCCAGGAGATCAAGACAGCGCTCCGGACGCAACTGAGAGGACGGCCACACAACGAATGGGACGAGCATTTGCCGAAAATCCTCTTCCAGTTGCAAAATAGGCAAAACGAAGCGACAGGCAGGACGCCAGCCGAGATACTGCTGGGCAGAGAGCTCATTCACGGCCGAAAGAAGCCGAGCTGGACGCAGTCCGTCAGCATCAAGCAAGGTACCAGGCCACGTACATCAGGGACGGCGAACAAACGGAACCGCACTTCAAGATCGGCGAAGTGGTCGACATTCGAGCGAGCCCGTTCTCAAAGGCCTCAAAAAATTACTGTGTGAGGTTCGCCGACAAGAACTTCCTTACTATCATGAATAGGTGGACAGTTGATGCCAAGCAAATGACGCGTCGTTTACTACAGAATCTTGTAGGCGAAGAAAATCTTAAAAACATGTATTCTCTTAGAAGTCGCAGGAAAATCTGGTATTCCAAACGACATCGTGTCAGCCGTTGAATGTATGTTAATAGTATATAGTTTCTTTCAGTATTTATTTATTTTTTATGTACATACGCGTAATAAATTGTTTAATTTTTTGGAGTACGTAAATGAAAAATGCTCATCAGGGCTGGATCCGGCTAAATTCACAGCAGTAATAAATTTGATGATTGGTACTTTGAGACACTCTCGAACTTGACATTTAATACACTTTATTGATTTTGAAAATTTATTTTATAATTTATTGTTTGCGATTTACATTGGCGATTATTATGTTATGTCACTGAAGAAATCAATTGACTTACAATATTACTTATTTTATTGAGATCGAAAGTTTTCTTAACATTTATTGTTTCAAATTGTGTTATATAAAAAAAATTGTTTTTCAAATAAATATTTATAATCAATAAATGAACAAATAAATAAATGTTGAATGTAATTTTTATTTAATAGTGAAGTAAATCGCGCATACATTGCATACACATGGCACATATGGGGCGAAATTTCAGCGTTTTTGAGCGAAATTGCTCAATTTCTAACTCACTCTTAGAGTACCTAAACGAACCAGGAAAAAATAACCAAATAGTGACTTTCGATAGGAAATTTGCTCAGCTTTCCGATGGTGAGTAACAATTGTCTAAAATTTTCCATTTTCACCCCAGAAAATGCAAGTAAACTTTCAAACTCAAATATCTCAAAATACGTCATATTTTTTGTGTTTTTTAGTGTTTTAATCAAAAGCTGAAGTCTTTTTACATTAAAAACAGTTGTTTCTAGAGTGTAAAACACATAATTTCTATGAGAAAATCGGACTACACCACGTGAAAGCTGAGAAAAAAACACATAAGAACTATATTTTTATTTATTTTTCTAGTTGAATTACATTGTTATTTGCGCGAGTTGTGATTATAGCGAGCCGCGAGTCGCGCGTATCGGCGGCCGGACGGCCGAGCGCCAACTATGTTTGCTCGTATTTCTCATAGAAATTATGTGTTTTACACTCTAGAAACTACTGTTTTTCATGTAAAAAAACCTCAGCTTTTCATTAAAACAATAAAAAACGCAAAATAATTTGACGCATTTTGAGATATTTGAGTTTGAAAGTTTACTTGCATTTTCTGGGGTGAAAATGGAAAATTTTGGACAATTGGTCCTCAACATCGGAAAGCTGAGCAAATTTCCTATCGAAAGTCACTAGTTTGTTATTTTTTTCTGGTTCGTTTAGGTACTCTTAGAGCGAGTTAGAAATTGAGCAATTTCGCTAAAAAACGCTGTTGAGCGAGGCGCTAGAATTGAGAAATTTCGCCCCATATATGACACGGCGCATGTTAATGAGTATACATATGGCCAATGCGTGTCCAATATCTGAAAAATTTCATTTGAATCACAATGGCCAACGTATTGGCAAGTGTAGTATCGTAACAATATTGCACATAAATTGTCAATAAATTGCCCATACCAATGAACAATACTTTTGCAATATTCCACTAATATGACGTTTTTTTACGCGAGATCCCCTTAACAAATATGTTGATGATCGTTTACCTGCGTATAGTTCGTAATGATATGAACATTTTAGGAAAATTACATTTTAGTGATAAGACTTTTATTTAAATAAATTTCAAAAGTTGGATTTTTTTGAAAAAAGGATTATGAAAAGTGGATCAATATTAAAATCGAGATTATTGTTCAAAATTCATTTATATAAATAATATTATAGAAAATTTGACAACGTTTGATTAAAAAAAATACTATAAATATGCTTATGCGTCTGCCAAGCAAATATGGTATAAATCTTCGTTCATCATCTTGCTAAGGATCTGTTCACAGCAGGTTATCGGTAGTCGATAGCGTATGAGATTCATGTAAGGATCCAGTGCCCAGCGCCGAAAATATCCTCTGGACATCATCTCGCACAGACGCAACTGACAAGCCTCTTTAACTTCTTCGGAAAGTATCGAAAGATGATCAAATCTCGCAAATTTGAAGTAGTCCTCATATGTGAGTAGTTTTTCTTCCTCTTCGAGTGTTAACTTGCTCCACTCGTAGAGCGATAGACTCGGGTCGTTATCCTTTATCATAATTTCTTTCGCTTGGCTCACGAACTCCTCGTCCTCGTACCAACATTTATCCAGATTCGACGGCTTCTCGAACAAATATCGTTCAGCGAAGAATTTCATGATCGTCAGGGCGTCGCTTCGGCTAAACTCGTATCCTCTTTGCTCAAGATTTTCAGCGATGGACAGAAGACTAGACGCCATTATCAATTTAAAATTATCATAAATACTGCTGAAGACTCGCGTATCCAACCTCTCGGCGAAGTCACTCGCGGTGGGGAAAACGAAGCTCGACAGATCGGCCCCGTGATCCAAGAGTATATCGACCACGCGAGGAACCAGATTTTCCACGGCCCATCGAAGAGGTGTCCGGCCCAATTTGTCCACGACTTCGAGCTGCGCCAGCCGAGGAAACATCACCAACAACTCGTCTCGACTCGAGGCTCTCTTGCAAATCATATGCAGTGATGTCTTTCCTTCCTCGTTAACCAGATTCGGATCAGCGCTTCTTTCCAGAAGCAATTTAATCAACTGTGGATTGCCGGTAAATGGTTCAAGGTGGTAGAAAACCAAGTGCAATGGTGTATCACCAAAAATGTCCACGGCGTCGACTTGAACCTTCAGCTGTAGTCCGTCGCAAATATCGAAGAATAGTTTCGCCAAGTCTTCGCTGTCTCTATGGCAGCAAATGTTATGCAGAGGAGTCGTACCATAATTGGTGACTAAATTTGCATTTGCGCCTCTTCTCAGCAGCAGCTCGACCACCTTCTTGTTACCCCGATCCGCGGCATAGTGCAACGGTGTATTACCCTTTTCGTCCTGAACATCGACTCGAGCCGTCTGCTGTCGTTCGTCCCAGATCTCGAAGAACATCTCCACTAATTCGTCGTCTTCGTCGTCGCGGTCATACATGCTAATGAAGTGTAGAGGAGTCTCTCCGAAGTTATTTGCTGAACATTGATCAGCGCCTCTTTCCAATAGCAATTCGACCAGCATATTTTTGTGGTATTCCAAAGCCACAAGTAGCGGTGTGTTACCAGACTTGTCCCGGGCGTCGATTTGAGCCGTCTGCTGTCGTTTGTCCCAGTTCTCGAAGAACATCTCCGCCAATTCATCGTCTTCGACATACTCGCTAATGAGGTGTAGAGATGTCGTTCCATAATTGTTGGCTATATTTAGATCCACGTCTCTTCTTAGTAGCCATTCGACCAGCTGTCCGTTGCGGTGTATTAATGCCTCGTGCAATGGTGTATTGCCCAACTTGTTCTGAACATTGAGCGGCAAAATTTGATTGTTTTCGTCGCAGAATTCGAATAACATCTTCAACAATTCATCTTCTTCGTCGTAGACATACTCGCTAATGAGGTGTAGAGGAGTGTATCCATCATTGTTGGCTATATTTAGATTCACGCCTCTTTTCACTAACAATTCGACCAGATGTCTGATGCGGTTTATTAATGCCTCGTGCAACGGCGTATTACCTTCCTTGTCCCGAGCATCGACCTGCACCGTCTGCCCTAGATCGTCGCAGGTCTTGAAGAATAGCTCGGCTAGGCCTTGACCGTAATCTCTCTTGTGAATGATGTGCAGAGGGGTCCATCCTTTCGCATTGGCTATATTGGGGTTGGCGCCTCTTCTCAATAGCAATTCGACCATCTTCTTGTCACCGCATTTGAGAGCCTCGTGCAATGGTGTATTGCCCAAATTGTTCTGAACATCGATCCGCAAAATTTTATTATTTTCGTCGCAGAATTCGAATAACATCTTCGCCAAACCTTTGTCATCGACTTTCTCGCAAATATAGTGCAGAGGAGTTGAACCCTCGTGATCGATGAAATTCGGATTGGCGCTTCGTTTCAGCAGCAATGCGACGAGCTTCTTATTTCTGTATTTCACAGCCAAGTGCAGCGGCGTCCTACCCGACTTGTCCCTGAAATCGACCGGCACCATATGCCGTAGGTCGTCACAGATCTTGAAAAAAAACTTGGCCAAGTCAACGTGATGATCATCGGTATGTATGGAAAAATTGTGCAGAGGAGTCTGTCCCGCCTTGTTAGCTAAATTTGATTTGGCTCCTCTCCTCAATAGCAACTCGATGACCTTCGATGTGTCGTCGTAATTAACTGCCGCAGCAAAGTGTAGCGGCGAATCACCTGTATGATGCACGAGGAGATTGGGATCCTGGCCAAGGTCGAGGAATTTCTTCACCACGTCGTCCAAGCCAAACTCGCAAGCCAGATGAAAATGAGTAATACCGTATTCACAGCTGAAATTCACGTCAAATCTGTCATATATTTCGAAAAGGTCACGAATCACGTTCAACCCGGATGCAGCTGCGATGTGCATTGCCGTGACGCGACGAGATATTGGCTTGCCTGCCTCGTCTAGTTTCGGCTCGTCCTTGAAGCCTGTTCGAGCTACAAACTTAATAAATCGTTGCAGTTTAAGAGGATCTCTCGTATTTTTGATAGCCTCCATGAGAAGCCAGTCAATTTCTTCGGCACGAAAATCTTCTAGAAGATTCGGAAGCTGTATCTTCCAGTCGCTCGTCAAGTGAAAAAGTCGAAAGAGAAGATCACGTCGCTCCTTTACTAAATTCCAATCGACCGCGGCTCGCATCTCTTTTAATTTTTTTAATTGGGACATTGTTCGGCACACTCACACACGCGACACTTGTATTGTTAAATAGTTTTCAATTTTTTTCACGAAAAAACCACAGGCCACAATCGGAGCGATATACCTTCGATGTTCAGTCCGTGGAGTTGTAACGTGTACTGACTACTGACTAGAATTTGTACTCGACACTAGAGAAAAAAAACACATGGGCGAAGGTGAAATAGGTTATGTGTAGCGACGATTAAAAAATGAAAGTCCAGAGTGGGAGGAGCCTCTCGTATGCGTATAACGTATGCGTTGTATAGTGAAAGTAACACATTGCCGGGCATAGGAGTCGTCCAAACTTCTGCAACACAGCAGTGCGATCGGAGTGGGTATTTGATTGTTATAGCTTCGATAACTTCAAAAATAGATTAAAACAATTTCGTAGCGTTTTTTTTTTCAATTAAAAACCGATGCCAATTGATTGGCAAAAAGCTTCCTCGAGAAAAATTCTGTTAATGAGAGTTTGGTTTTAGATGGGAAAATTTTGTATTCGGCCGTTTTTATTTGCTTATATGAAACTCCAAAAAAATCTAGAAATATCTAGAATTTCGTGTAACATATTATTTCAAATTCATAGCATAGAAAAACATCGTGCCGGAATCTTCATTTAAATTCGGAAGTTTCTGAATGTCTTGAACGAGACTACGCAAAGTAAACTTTGCGTTACCAAATCTCTTGGAGTTGTTTGATTTGCAAGGATAAAAGGGTTGAATAGATTACACAATTTGTTCTCTTGAACAATAAACTTTCATTGGGCACAAACTGTGCTTTACTCTACACTCTACACTTCATCAAAAACAAAATTAAACGACAAATGTCGAACTCTTAGAGTTAACAAAAATGAACGAAAAATAATTAAGAAGTTCGCACGATGAGCTTTGCACAAAGATTGACAGTCGAGTGATTACGGCAGAGACACGCGTGTGCTCGCGCGGTGGGGAGAGAGACTCGTACGTATCGTGTCGCGCCGTCGACTTGTCCATATAACTACCCACTCACACACTCGCACATACGGCTGTACACATACGGCTCGCACAGACTCTGGCAGATACGGCCATCTATGTATCGCCGACAGTAGTCAAGCGAGCATAATTGTACCCATTACCCCGCGTGTCCCATTGATACATCATTATCGAATAGCAGCGCTCACAGATGGCAGTCGATCATATAACGACATTGTAGCGTGGCCGTGGCTATGGATAAATTTTTAACGCCAATAAAAACTATCAAATCAATGTAGCGTGGCCGCCAACAGCGCCTTTCATGACAGCAGCGTTATGGCAATGTATATCAAATATGATGCCAATAAGAACTTACTAAACTAAACTGTAGCATGGCTACTCCAATGTATAATATGAACGCCTATAAATATACTTTCAATAATTTCAATGTAGTGTGGCTTGTATTCACGATCACTTATTGTTTAAGGCAAACCTATGAATTTCAAAGGTAACAGTGTGAGGTCGACTTCGTCGGCAGATAATTTATTAAAGATTATAAAATAAAGTATGAGTTGATTAAAACATCTTTATAACTTTTCACGAATGCAACTAATATAGTTGTGAAAATAAATCGATTATAAATAATTTATTAATTGAACGAAATTATCGATCTTTGAATTTCTGATAAATATTAGTTTATAGCGATAAAATATATTCAATTTTTTTTTTGCAGACATGGTGCTTTTTCGATCAATTGTTATACTCTAACTTTTTTAGAAATATGCTTCACATTAACTTATATCTTAAAATATAAAGCACATTTCAAATTTCTTAGAAATGATGATTGAATGGTTTCAAACAATTTCGACAATACAATGCCCACACTAATTTCACTGCTGAGCTGTGGAAGTTCGGGCGACGTTTGTGTCTATACTCTATGGCAATGTGCTACTTTCACTACGACGCACACGTTACACGCACACGAGAGATTCCCCCTACACTGGACTTACAGTTTTTAATCGTCGCTACACGTATAGCCTATCTAGCTTGCGCCCACATACTTTTTTCTCTCTAGTCTACTACAATGTGTCGATAGTAGTTGATCGTAGTCGTCGTATCGCGTTGATTGTAACCCGTGGTTTTTTCGTGAAAAATAATTGACATATTTTACAATACAAGTGTCGCGTGTGTAAGAGTGCCGAACAATGTCCAGATTCGAACAATTAAAAACGATGCGAGCAGCGGTCGATTGGAAGATCGTAGAGGAGCGACGCGATCTTCTCCTCCGACTTTATCAATTGACGAGCGACTGGGAGGTGCAGCTCCCGAATCTTCTAGACGTTTTTCGGGCCGAAGAAATTGACTGGCTTCTCATGGAGGCTGCGAACAACTTAGCACACGATTCACCGAGCCAATTTATTAAATTCGTGGCCAGCACCGGCTACACGGACAAGCTCGAACCAAATGAGGAGGGTGAGCCAGCTGGACGGTGTAGGCGTCGCGCCACTGCGGTGCATCAAGCGGTCAGATATTGGCACGTGGACGCCTTGCCTGATCTGTTCAAGATTTACGACAGGTACGACGCGAACTGTACCGACGAGTCTGGATTGACGCATTTCCATGTGGCCTGCCAGTTTGGCTGCAATGGCGTCGTCGAGAAGTTCCTCGAACTCGGTCAAGATCCCAATATCGTCTGGCAAAAATGCGGAGATACGCCGTTGCACTTGGCTATTCGGCACAATCGTATGGAAGTTGTCAAGCTGTTGTTGAACAGCGGCGTCAATCCAAATCTTGCCAACAAGTACGATGCGACTCCTCTACACGAGATTTGCACAGCAACCCATTATCGCGAACGGTACGACCCCTCGACGAAAGTGTACCGCCTGCCGGGTAGCGAAATGACCCTCCAGGATCAAAATTGTAGCTGCAAATACGTGATCGAGTCGCTGCTGAGACTTGGCGCCAATCCGACTCTGCCCAATAATAACGGCCTGTTACCTCTGCACATGGTTATGGTTAGCAAGTTGAATTGCCGCCACGATGTCGACGTGGTGAAGATGCTGCTCGAGTTTAGCAAGGACGAATGTCCATTGAAGCAGCTCGATGCCCAAGACAAGGGGGGCAACACACCGTTGCTCTTGGCTGTGAAATCTAACAAGAATACGCTGGTCGAATGGCTATTGAGACGAGGCGCCGATCAAAATTTAGCCAACAACGCCGGAGAGACTCCTCTGCACCGCATTTGCAGCCACAGTAAAGACGAAGATTTGCCGTATTTGTTCTTCGATGTCAACGACGACATCGATCAGCGGGTGCTGGTCAATGCTCAAGAAAATTCGGGCAACACACCGCTACTTATGGCTCTGCATAACAAGAACACTAAGCTGGTCAAGTTGCTGTTAAAAAAAGGCGCCGATCAAAATTTAGCCAACAACGCAGGACAGACTCCTCTTCACTTCATTGGCGAGTTTGACGACGGCGACGACGACGATGAATTGGTGAAGATGTTCTTCGAGATCTGGGACGAACGACGGCAAACGACGACTCGAGTCGATGTTCGGGACGAGGAGGGTAATACACCGTTGCACGATGCCGCGAATCGGGGTAACAAGAAGGTGGTTGAGCTGCTGCTGAGAAGGGGTGCGGATCCGAACTTGGCCAACAGGGAGGGAGAGACTCCTCTGCACGTCATTTGCCAGAGAGTAGACGACGACGATTTGGCGGCGAAATTCTTCGAGATTTGCAGTGAGATCGGTCGGAAGGTGCAGGTCGATGTTCGGGACGAGAAGGGCCTAACGCCTCTTGAATGGGCCGTGGCGAGCCTATTGCCGGACTTGGTCGACTTGCTCTTGGATCGTGGCGCCGATCTGTCTAGCTTCGTTTTTCCCGCTTTCGATTACATGGGAGGAGTGAGATGGAGCGACGACGATCAATTTACCTTCAAACTGACGCGAGTGTCAGCCGCTATGGCCTGCGTCGAGCGTCTGGAGAGGAGAGGCTACGAGCTGAAACTCGCCGACGCCCTGACGATCATGCGACTGTTCGCCAAGTACAGGTGGTTCCCGAGCACGGGCGACTTCTTTCAATCCACGTACGAGCACGACGAGTTGGCTCGGGAGGCGGAAGCATACTCGCGAGATTTTGGTCTGTCGTGTCTCCACGATCTGACCCGGCGACGACCCGAGGAGACGGCCAAAGTACTCGCGTACTCGGACTACCGCGAGTTGGCGCGGCTGTCGGAAACCTGGCGCTGGTCGGGGATTCGGAACTCGGATTTTCTGGAGGTGGCCGTGAAGGCTCGCGGCATGCATCTGTGCGAGTTAATGTCGAGGAGATTTTTCCGGCGTTGGGCGGACGATTGTTTCTTGAAGCTGATACACTATCGGCTGCCGCTTCTCTGCTGCGACATGATCATCGAGCATTTAACGAACGAGGACTTGTGTAATATTTGCATGGCGGTTGAAGGACAGAGTTCATGGTGGAATGAACATTTTTAAGTGATTTTTTGGGTCTGGTCTTGTTAAATGTGACTAATTTTGTAATAATTCAAAAAAATAATTTGAAAAAAATGAATAGCTATTTTAATAACGCTTATTGCTATATTTGGAGATGAGTAGATTAAAAAAATAACTAAATAAAAAATCTGCTACACTTAAGTGGAAAAGAATTTAATTACAAAACTTTTGAGACCTAAAGGAATCCAATTGAATAATTGTTGTTCTCAAAATCATGCGGTCAAGGACTTAGAAAATACAATTCAATATCTATGAATCCTGGATGAATTTTAATAATAAAAGAAACTACAGACATATTTTTTGTTGTAAAAGGACTTGTAAAAACATATTTTAACATCAGAAACAAAAAATTTTAATATTAAACCTTAATTTTCATGTTTTTGCATTTATAGTCATAAACACAGGTGCGTCCCCTTAAGAAAAAGAATAAAATTTATTTCAATATACTTTATTGAATTTTCTTTATAATTTATTGCACTTAAAACATTTGAAACATAAATACGTTATGTTTTGAAAAATTTAATGATAC